GTGTGTCTGCTGATCGGGTCGGACCGGGTCGGATCGGGTCGGACAGCATGGAGAGCAGCTGCATGGAGAGGAAGGAGCCGGTCGGCTGGTCCTGGAAGGAGCAGGGTAGGCTGGTTCTGGTTGGTTCTGATCGGGTCTGGTTGTCGGGTTCGCAGACGGGACCTTTGGACGTGCAGCGGGCCAGGTCAAAGGTCAGGTTAATGATTGGTTGAAGTGGAACTCCAGTAAAAGGTGCAGTCCGACCAGAACCAGAACCAGCTGCTGGGTTCTGCTCACCAAGCAGTTAGTTGGAGGTCCGTAGAGGTCCAAACCGGTCAGGCCCTCAGCTTAGATCATTGATCCGTTTGGTTCTGGAGAACGGCTCTGAGGTCTTCTGGTTCTGATTGGGCCAGGTTCTGTCTGCTGGAGGTTCTGGATCAAAACCAGGAGGAAACAACAGAACCCATCAGAACCAGCTGGTTCGTTCTGGTCTGTTTTCGTAGATCCAGCTGCATGCTGACTCAGCGGCTGTGTGTGTCTCTGGTTCTGGTTCTGCTGGACCTGTTCTCCCAGCATGCACCTGTCCTGCAGCTGATTTGAATGTTGGACCTTTTATCTGCAGCATTTTGCTTTTACGACCTGCTTTTACAACCCGGGCCAACTGAACCGGGTTTATCAGCACCGGGTCAGTTCTGGACCGCAGAAACCCAGATCAGCGGTTTTGACTCGTTTGGGACAGAACCGGTGGTATCAGCATCATGCTGTGGGAAACAGGTCAGAGCATTATGGGATGGATGAGATCAGAGCTGATTCATGGGAAAGAACGGCCTAGTCAAAGCCCAGACCTGAGTCCAGCTGGTTGTAAACTGGTCCAGATGATCAGAAGACCTGCAGCCAGACCCGGTTCTGGGTGAAAAGCAAGGGCACGCCGCACTTTTCAGATTTATATCGGCAGAAATATTGAAAGACGGAAATAGTTTTCTTTACTTCCTGTTGTGATCGATAAACTCATTTTGACGTTATTGATCCAGATTTATTAATAAATCGGTGAATATAAACTCTCCTCGCTGGCTGATTGATCATGTATTGGAATTAGATCAGTAAATATGGTGATCGTCTCCTCGTGGGGGCCGAGCTGCGCATGTCCCGCCCACGGAGCGTGATCTCCGGTCAGCTGGAGGCGGAGCCGCGCTGCTGCTGCTGGAAGCTCCGGGAGGTTCAACATGGACGCCGAGCGGGGTTAGTGAGCTTTATGTCCGGTGGTAGCGCTCCGGCAGCGGGCTTGGGCTGCCGGGGAGGCGGGCGGAGCGGAGCGGGGCTCGGAGCGGACCGGGGCTCGGACCGGGCCTCCTGCGGAGGGTAACCCGGACTCTGAGGTGCGGTCCCCGCGTGAGGCGGGGGTCCGTCCGGGAGGAGGAGGGAGGTGAAGCGGGTCAAACGGGACGAGTTGAACCGGAGCGGCGGTGAAACCAGATCTGTGGCCGGGTGGAGCGCGCTGCGGAGCGGGCTCTATTTTTAGCGGCTCCGGTTCCGCGGGCTGCCTGTTACCATAAGAGGCAGGCGGCCACATTTGGAGCCTCCTGCTGCTCCTGCTGCTCCTGCTCCGCCTCAGCCGCTGGTTCTTCTGGGAACATGGCTGTCCGCAGGAAGCTAACGGTTAGCATGCTAACACCGGGGGGGGGAGCGAGGCGGAAGTGGCGGCGAGTTGAGCGGAAGTGATCATTTCTGGGTTAATCGAAGCTCCGATCGTGTTCAGTTCATATTTCGGTCCAGTTTAAAGCCGCAGTTTGTCTGATTCACAGATAATTCAGATAATAAGTCAGACTCATAACACTAAACAATCATATTAATGACACAACTTCAAACAAATATTTAACTAGCAAGCTAAACATTTAAATATCAGTAAATATTTTGTTAAAGAATATTCCTCTAGTTTTCAGAGTAAATGAATAACGAGCTGATTTCTCCTCAGCCAGAATAATCCAATTATTTCAGTTTTTTTGAGAGTGTAACTTTGACTAGTTGTCCTGCTTTAGCAAGTGGACCAAAGTGGTTCTGGTTCTGGTCCAGAACGGACTGCAGGAAGAATGTGGACCTTGGACTGGACCACTCTGTTTGGTTCTGCTGTAGAATCACAAAGTTAGCTTTAGCTTTAGCATGACATCAGCAGGAAGTGACACGCGGTTTGGACCTTGATCAGAACCTTGGTCCGGTTGGTTGAACCAGGTTTCCCTTCATCTTCATCTGGTCCGTTTCACCTGAATCAGTTATTTATGTTTATCAACTCAGCAGTGAAGCTCTGGTTCTGGTTCTGGTCACCAGGCTTCCACAGGTCAGAGGTCGTCCCTGCTGACCGTGTCTCTGTCTGCCCCCTAGTGGTGGAGCTGGTGTACTGGCGCGACGTGAAGACGACGGGCGTGGTGTTCGGCGCGGCGCTGCTGCTGCTGCTGTCGCTCAGCGTCTGCAGCATCGTCAGCGTCTGTTCCTACATCGGCCTGGCGCTGCTGTCCGTCACCATCTGCTTCCGGATATACAAGGGCATCCTGCAGGCCATCCAGAAGTCCGATGAGGGCCACCCCTTCAGGTGAGTCTGCTTCTGGCCCGGTTCTGACCCGGTTCTGACACGTTAAGATTCAGTGCCTCAGATGTTATAAAACAGAATAATAAACACTTCCTGGTTCCTGGTCCACTTTGGTTGTGTTGGTTCTGCTCAGCGGTTCTGGTCCAGATGGCATTATTCCAGCTCCATGGTCGGTTGATCCGCTTCTGGCTGCAGATCAGAACCTTTCTGAGTCCAGACTCATTAACTGGGATTACCAGGAGCTGAGCTCAGAGAATCTGGACCAGAACCAAAGTGGATCAGAACCAAAGCAGGTTTCCTGCTCAGATGAACCCAAACAGGAGCTGGAATCCGTTTTACATCCCACCAAACCTCAGAAGCAGACATGGAAACCTTTTGACCCACCTCTTTCCCGCCCCGCAGGCTGTACCTGGACCAGGAGGTGGCGCTCTCTGCGGACCTGGTCCACAAGTACAGCGACGGGATTCTGGAGAAGCTGAACTGGACCATCGAGGAGCTGAGGCGTCTGTTCCTGGTGCAGGACCTGGTGGACTCCATCAAGGTGAGGCAGAACCTCTGGGTCCAGTACTGATTGGTTCTGATGATAAACGGATCATTAAACACGAGGTTCTGATCGGTTCTGACCCAGTTTCTCCCACTTTCATCCTGCAGTTTGCGATTCTGATGTGGATCCTGACCTACGTTGGCGCTTTGTTCAACGGACTCACTCTGCTGATCCTGGTGAGCAGCGGCGCCCTCCGGTGGTGGTTCCGCTGCATCGCCCTCCGGTGGTGGCGCCCTCCGGTGGTGGTTCCGCTGCAGCGCCCTCCGGTGGTGGCGCCCTCCGGTGGTGGCGCCCTCCGGTGGTGGCGCCCTCCGGTGGTGGCGCCCTCCGGTGGTGGTTCTGCTGCGGCGCTGCAGTGGGCCGTCCTCTGGGTTCTGATCATGTCCTCCTCTTGCAGGTCTGGTCGGAGCGTTCAGCTGCCCAATCATCTATGAGAAACACCAGGTAGGACCCTGACATTACCCAGAATGCATCAGGGGTGTTGCTGGATCCGTCCTGCTCTAACTTCCTGTCTCTCTCAGGCTCAGATCGATCACTACCTGCGCTGGTCACCAACCAGGTCAAGGATGTCGTGGAAAAGTAAGTTAACAGTTTCAAAATAAAAGCCCAGCTGTGAGTTTAGGACACAGGCTTTTAATGTGAAAGAGCCCACCTGGTGATGTAACCTCGTATCCTGATATGAACATTTTGTATAATTGAGTTGAGATTGTATTGAATGAATAAATCAAACAGCAGGATCCCAGTGGGGGGGAGGAGATTTGACTGGTATTACTGGGAACCTTCTGTCTGCTTCTCCACACAGACCTTAATATTCTCACCCTTAGGTGGCGCTGCTGCGCTTCCTCACTTTATGTCTGTAATCTCAATGTGTGTAGTTTTGAGGTCAGTGACCTCTGTCCCCTACTGATGACCTCACAGTGAAACATCCACTGGCCCTTTAAGGGGCTGCTGGGAAGAACATCATAAAGTCTTTTATTTTGACATGTACGGCAGCTCACTTCCTGCCTCGTGTTTCCTGTTTGTGTTTTAGGATTCAGGAAAAGGTTCCCGGACTGAAGCGTAAGGCGGAGTGAAGGAACGGGAGGTCAAAGGTCGGATTCAGGAAGTCCTGATGGGAGGGGGCGGGGGCTGGAGGAAACGAAATGAAGGAGGAAGAGGAGGGTGAGGGGGGGTAATGAAGGAGAAGAGGATCAGGTGTGCGCTGCCCTTAATGTATTTGTCAGATTAAAGTTTTTTATCATTTCAGAATTCCTTATTTTGTGTTTCTGGAATCGTTCAGTGGCTTGATGATGATGATGATGATGCTCATCGCCATCATCTCTGTTTTATTTCTGTGAACCAATCAGAGTCTCAGACACATTTTAAAGCTGGTTGGCCCCGCCCCCTTCCCCTCAGCCTATCACAGCCGGCTGGCAGCAGCAGGTTGGGGAGGGGCTGCTGTGAGGAAGAGGAGGGGCTGCACTAAACTCTTCATCGCTGCTCGGTAGCTGTAGAACCATGTAGAACAATCCTGTTAGATCATCGTCTCCTCGGAAACGGCCAGGCGTTTCCCTCCGCCAGGTGTTGTTTCCAGGTGAGGTGGGCGGAGCTTAAAGCGTCTGTTTCTTCTGCTTCTTTAATCGTGAATGATAAACTTTCTTCTTCTTCTTCACCTGTGCTGATTAAACTCCACTGGAGTCGTGTTGTGGAATGCATTGTGAGATGTAAACAGTTATCAATAAAGCTTTAGACAAACTACCAGAACCACGAGTCCTCCATGTCCGCCGCTAACCGGGTCAGAACCAGAACCACGAGTCCTCCATGTCCACCGCTAACCGGGTCAGAACCAGAACCACGAGTCCTCCATGTCCGCCACCAACCGGGTCAGAACCAGGAAGTGATGACAGCAGAACACAGTTTACACACAATAATATTTATTTCAATTGGGCGGCGGCGCCCTCTGCTGGTGAAACATGGTCCCTACATCTGAATAATTTTTTAGTTAAAATCGGTTTAGAAACAAAATATATTTACAGAACTCAAAGCATCACTTCCATAATAGTGGAGATATAATTATACACAATATTATTAAAAGCAATAATTTCATATGAACCCAGCAGGAAGCTTCTCTGGCCTCATGGATAAATTAAAGCAGCATGAAAATTTGTTTTAAACATTTTCTCACCACTTTTTCAGTCAGTAAATTATAAAGAACCAAAACTGATTTTATTTAAACTAAAACTGAACCACATTTATTATTTTATAAACATGCCAGAGTAAACCTCGGTTCTTTGAGGCTTTTGGAATAATTACATTTTATCTCTGGCTGCAGTTTGTTCCTGCAAGTGAAGCTGACGGAAAATGTTTTGTTTTTAGATCTTAAATTGCAAATGTTGACAATATAAAGTATTTTTTCATCCAGAAACGTTTTTACTCAAGAAACTGTTAAATTAGGAAATTATTAGCTTGGCTGAAAACAGATTTTCAAAGAAACTTCTGGAGTTTGTTGCCAAGTTTAGACAAAATATTTTCTAACCTAACAAATTTCTGTATTTTATTGTGAAAGTTTATCTTTCTTTTATAAATGAGGCCCTGAAGGCAGCGCCTGGTCGCTATGGTGCGTTCATGGCCTGTTGGGAAAAGTTTGGAGGAATTTTCTGCCATAATCTTGGAGCTCGGATTTTCAGTCTGAAAGCAGAATTTCCTGTCTTTTGTTCACAGGTTGCTACTATTGATAGCCGCCACACAGGCACACCTGCTAGAAGAAACAAACGCACCCAGCACAACACTTTGATTCTGTTGGCTGAGAGGTTGCCAGGTGACTGTGCCAAAAGGCGTTTCAGAAGCGAGCAGAGACTAAGTGTGAGACTGGAAGTCCTGCTTTCAAAATGAAAATGTCTCTTTGATGATGGCAGAAAAATTCCTCCATAAGAAATAATTTCCTCTGAAACGCCCATCCCTCGTCTCTAAGGTGCCAATGTCTGGAGGCTCCGCCCCCTGCAGCTGATTGCTGGCAGCGCCCTCAGGTGGTTGGCTGCAGCAGCAGCATGGCCAGCAGGTTGCTCTCTGACTCCGCCCACTCCGCCCTCACCTGCAGCCTCACCTGCTCCCCCTGCTGGAGCATCAGGAGTCCCGCCCCGCTCACAGGCCCCGCCCCCTCCACCTGCCGCTGCAGCAGCGTCACCGGAGCCCCGCCCCCTCCCTGGCCCCGCCTAAGCAGGACGTGGGCGGAGCCTGGCCTCAGGTCCAAGGTGAGGATGAACAAGTAGAGTCCGTCCAGAGGCGCCGTGAAGAGTCTGGAGTTCTGACCCGGTCCAAACCTGACGGTTCGGTCCGATCCGCCCACAAACTGCACAGAGACGCCTGATTGGCTGGATGGGATCGGCTTACCTGAGGAGGACAGGTGATGATGAGAAGGTGAGTTCTGATGCTGGTCTGACCAAGTTGTGACTCACCTGGTGACTCCCTCCGACTGCGCTGGCCGCCTCCTCTTCCTGCTCCTCCCTCACCTCCTCCCCCTCCTCCTCCTCCTCCTCCTCTTCCTCCTCCTCCTCCTCGCTTCCTGTCCCTCTGCTTCGTCAGCTCCAGCAGTCGGTCCAGCGGCAGCGTGTCTCCGGACGCCGCCAGCACCTCGGCGTTGCTGAAGACGTTCTTGAAGACCTTCAGGTGTTCCTCCAGGCCCCTCCGCAGCCAGAGCATCTCTGCCTGCAGCGCCTCCTCCTGTCCTGCAGGGGGCGCGGCGCTGCCGCAGGTGCAGCTCCGCTCCTCCGCCCGGACCAGCCTCTGCTCCACCTTCCTCTCCAGGTCCCGCAGGATGTCTGCAGCGCTCCGCTCCGCCTGCAGGAGGCGCTGGTTCTCCCGGAGGGGCTGGTCAGCAGCAGGAATCTCTTCTCTGCTTCCTGGTTATTAATGTTGACAAACATTCGTTCATATTTACTGAATTTATATAAATGTAAAATAATGAAACTGTTTCCATGGAGATATTTTTTTATGACCAGTTGGATAAAAATCAAAATAATGTTTTTAATTATTTCCAAATGTTATGCCAATGATTCTCTGACGGTACTAATCGGTACCACAGAACCTCAACAGGCAGAACCTCCAAACGGATCAGAACTTTATTTCCACTTCTTGTCAGACAATCTGATAGAAATCAATAAAATGGAAGTTTTATTGATTTGTTCATGTTTTTATGAAAATCATGAATCTTTTAGCTGCTCCATGTGATTCCAGGTGATTCCAGATGATTCCAGGTGACCCTACCTGCTCCTGGCTCCTGTAGCTCCGCCTCCTCTCTGCTCCTCAGCTGCTCCTGCAGCAGGCGGAGCTGCTCCTGCAGGGCGGGGATGGAGTGGGCCTCCTGGTCCTGCAGGGGCCACTCCAGGAACTCCAGCACCTCCTCGCCCAGCAGCTGCAGCACGTCGCTGTGCCGGATGGCGTCCTGCAGCAGCGACTGGAAGGACGCGAACAGCGTCTTCACCTGCTGGTCCAGCTGGACATCCTCGTCCTGCAGCGCCGACACCGACCCGCTGAGCTGGGCCTGGCCGAGGTCCAAGGTTCTGGTTCTGTTCTGCTCCAAGGCCAGGAACTGTTTCACCTGCAGGGGGAGCACCAGAGTTACCTTCAGTATGTAGAACCTTTGGTTCTGATTCTGGTTCTCTGAGATGAGTTGAAATTGTAATTTTCAGGACTGTTAAGGACCTGATAGTCCAGTTGACCCGGTTCTGTTGGGACCAGAAATTCAACATTTGAAACATTTGATACATTTTCTCTCTGCTCTGAGTCAAACCAGCCTGTTCCCCTCCTGGCCTGTGGGGGCGCTGCAGCAACAACCACTGCAGGAAACGACACTAGAACCTCTGAAGACGCTAAGAGTAACTTCCTGTTTCACCAGATGAACCAAGATGGAGGCGTCAGAGTTCAGTGATTTCTCTTTAGTCTTTGGCTGAAGACCAGGAGCCATTTCTGCTGCTAGCGCTAGGCTAGCATGTTAGCTTTGGTTGGATTTACCCAGAATGCCCTGCGCTGTAGTCCACTTCCTGCTTTAGGAGCGCTCTCCAATCTGCTTGGTGTTCACATTCAAACCAAACCAGAGTTCACTTGAACTGAACTCAGACCAAGGATCAGAGGTCAGAGGTCAGAGGTCAGGTGGCGTTCGCACCAACCGGACCAAAGCTAATAGACAAGCAGACTGGAGTTGTGTTGAAGCCGACTGAACATTGCTGGCAGAAATAATGCAGCCTTAGTTGAACGTGGTTCTATGATCAGAACCAGAACCTCTAAGTGAACGAACCTGCTCCAGATCCGCCTGCAGCGCCTCCACCGCCGGCTCCCAGTCGCTGACTCCGCCCCAAGGAGCCCGCCCACCTCGCTGTTCTCCTCCAGTTCCAGCCTGTTGTGATTGGCCAGCTGGGTGACGTTGGCCACGCCTCTCTCCAGGCGAGCCACCGCAGCGTTCAGGTCGCTGCATTTGCAGTCGCTGGTCATTTTGAGGTTGTAGAAATCCTTGTACAGGTTGTCCACGTCCTTGGTGTTCTCCTGCAGGTCCTCCTCGTAGCGCGTCAAGTTCGCCACCAGCCGCTCCACCCGCCGCTCCACCGTCACCTTGGACTTCTCCACCTCCAGGCCCGTCTCCATGAACAGAATCTGGCTTTTCCGCGCCGTCTGGTTGATCAGCTTCTCCAGATTCTTCAGCTGCAGCGCCATCTGCTGGGCGTCGTCTGAAGTGAAATCCAGCTCCTCCACCTGCACAGAAACACACCTGGCCTCCAGTCGACATGCTCAGCTCTGATCGGACCAGCCGCTGTCCTGATGGGACGAACCTTGGCGGTGTTGTTGACCACCATGTTGTCCAGCCGTGTGATGGCGTCCCACAGGGCCGTGTTGTCAGCTGGGCGTTGGGGGGAGTGCTGGGGGTCCTCAGGGGCCCGGTCCAGCCTCATTGCAGCCTGTGTTGCGTTCAGGGCCTGCAGGCAGACGTGGTTCAGACATTTAAAGTGGTTGGAATAAAACGCTTCCTGATTGTGACCACTGATGGTAGTTTCTGACCTGCAGCACCTCCTGCTGCTGCTTCAGCTCCTGGTCCACCTCCACCCTGAAGCTGCTGAGGTTGAGCTGCAGCTCGTCGTGCTGGGAGTTCAGTCTGGTCTCCGTGTCGCTGCGCCATTCCTGGATCTGCCTGCGGACGTTCCCGATCTGCTGGAACATCCTGTCCAGTTTGGATTCCAGCTTGTCCTCGGTACCTTCGTCTTGCCGGAGCTCCGCTCCCCGTCGGCTCAGCTTCATGTCCTCCACGTCTTGAGATAGCGCCCTCACATGGTGGTGGAGGCGCTCCAGAGAGCGGTTGAAGCCCTCCAGGATGGGGTGCAGTTGGGACAGGACCAGCGCCATCATGTCGGGGACGGGAAGGGCTGCGGGGACGTCTGGGTAAGGCAGAACCACGCCCTCTACGACTGACGGACACACAGTGAAACACCATCAGCGCTACAGAGAACAAACCGTTCAGGCAGCAAACGCAGCAGAGCAACACAGGATCATCAGCATCAAGACTAACTCTGCTTCTATTCTGGGCAAGAAAACCAACAGCAGAGATCCGAGGAGGGACCCTGAGGAACACCTTCTGGTACTGAATCATCAGCTCCTGATGAAATCACTCTTAATGTAGATGCTGATTAGGAGACATCAAGGTGATTGAAACCATACCTGAGGATTCGCTCAGAACTGAACCTCTGGTTAGCATCGCTAAAGGTTAGCATCGCTAATGGTTAGCATCGCTAATGGTTAGCATTGCTAATGGTTAGCATCGCTAATGGTTAGCATTGCTAATGGCACTAGAGCACATGAAGCTATGACTCTTTTGGTAAGAAGGAAATTCGTGATGCTAAACATGAACCTGCAGCTCAGAAACATCGATGGTGAAGGCGACTCTGATGCTTCACGGTCTGGGGACAATAATCAGGTGTCCAGATGGTACTGCAGGTCGGTGCGGTTTGTGAACCCATCCACCTGCACTCGTAGGTCCATAGGACAAAGGTCCGGTCCGGTAGGGACCACACAACACTGTCCATTGACTGGACGACAGAAAAACATGAAGAAGACACAAGTCCTGCTTGTTGCACTAGAGTCACAAACCAAACCGGGTCACAAACCAAACCGGGTCACAAACCAAACCGGGTCACAAACGCGGTGCTGGTTCTGCCAAGCGACTGATGGAAATGGAGCAGAATCTGCAAGAAGTCCGGTCCGGTCCGGTGCCGGATCTCCTGGTTCACGGACATGAAGACGATGAGACCAAACCTCCGGTTGGTTCTGGTCCAACCGGACTGAGGCATCCAGAGAAATATATTTGTATCCTTTCCGGGTCGGTTCTGGTAGGAGCTGAGGCCGACCCAGTCTGAGGTTCTGTTGATGTCAGAACCCGGATGTTTCTCTGTCTGCTGCATTAAAATAGAAGCGGTGACCCGTTTGGACCTGCAGGTTCTGACCAGAGAGGTCTCTATCTAAAGCCTGTCTGACTGAGTCAGAACCAACAGAACCTTCATCCCGTGGGAAGGTCCAAACCCGGTGCCTCATGTTTGCAGAGCAGCTTCTCACGCCCACGCAGCCTGAACCGGACCAAACCGGACCTCCCTGGGGACAGGTTCTGAAACGGACACAGATCCAGCCCAAGCTCTCCCAGAACCGCCCTCTGGGTCGGCTGTTGGACCAGTCAGACTGAAACCAGAACCTTCTGCAGAATCAGCTGTAGGTTAAACCACCGGGTTCTGGTTCTGGTTCTGGTTCTGCGGGATGGGAACCTCCACCTGGTTCTGGAGCCAAATTTCTGGATCTTTCTCTTGCATACATCAAGAACCAGAACCAGAACCGGTCCGACCCTGGAATAAGTTCTGGTTCAGATCAGGGCCGGGTTCTCCTCTCCCAGTGAGGTCAAAGGTCACTGAGGATGTGTGGGAAACAGGAAGTGAGGATGTGATGTCATCAGTGGTCATGTGACCAGGCAGCAGGAAATCCTCCATTCATCAGTTAAAACATTCCTCTGGTTCTGGTTCTGGTCTCACCCTGAGACCGGCTCCCAGCCGGCAGCCGGTTCTGGTTCTGGTGGTAAACCGGGTGGTGGTGAGTGGCGGAGCCATGTGGGTCAGAGGGGTCAGCGAAGGTTGTTTGATGGTCGTTCTGCTCCCGGTCCGGGTCGACCCGGCGCTGAAATCCATCTGGGTCACCTGAAACAGAGCAGAGTTCTGCTTCATTAGCAGGTTTGGGTCAGAACATGCCAGAAACGGGTCAACAGAACCAGACCGGACCGGACTGGGTTTCACCGTAGGACTGATGAAATCAATGGGAACCAGAACCAGAACCTCAATGCCAAGGGAGGTTCTGGTTCTGCGGTTCTAGTTCCAGCATGTTCTCCCTGCAGTTCCTCTCATTGTCTGCTCGGCCCACAGGAAGCAGCTTAACTCAGAGGCGTGGTGGGAGCGGACCCGACCCGATCGGACCCGACCCGATCGGACCCGACCCGATTGGAACCGACCAGGCCGCGCCGTGAGGAGGCTCTGCTTTGTTACGCTCTAAAGGTCAGAGATCTATTTTAGCGTTTGGTTCCCAGGGAGTAGAAATACTGCCGTCAACAACCGGACCCCTCAGAACCAGAACACGGGTCCAGTCTGGAGGAGGAACCGGCTCCTTCTGAGTTAGAGACTGAAAACAAAAACATGGCGGCAGGTTTCTCCAGCTGGTCCCTGCTGGTCACGGCGGAGGCAGCAGGGTGATGGGGGACCCATCTGTCCTTAGTAGAAGCAGCAGTCACTCCACCCGTCTGAGCTGCTCTGACTTTACAACCAAACGCACCCAGCAACTTCCTCTGAGCTCATCAAGACGTTTCCTCCCGTCTCTGCTCAGTGTGTGTGTGTGTCGGTGTGTGTGTGTGTGTGTGTGTGTGTGTCAGTGTGTGTGTGAGTGTGTGTGTGAGTGTGTGTGTGTGTGTCAGTGTGTGTGTGTCAGTGTGTGTGTGTGTGTGTGTCAGTGTGTGTGTCAGTGTGTGTGTGTCAGTGTGTGTGTGTGTGTGTGTGTGTGAGTGTGTGTGTCAGTGTGTGTGAGTGTGTGTGTGTGTCAGTGTGTGTGTGTGTCAGTGTGTGTGTGTGTGTGTGTCAGTGTGTGTGTGTGTGTGTGTGTGTGTGTGTGTGTGTGGGGGTGTGTGTGTGTGTGTCAGTGTGTGTGAGTGTGTGTGTGTGTGTCAGTGTGTGTGTGTGTGTGTGTCAGTGTGTGTGTGTGAGTGTGAGTGTGTGTGAGTGTGTGTGTCAGTGTGTGTGTGTGTGTGTGAGTGTGTGTGTGTGTCAGTGTGTGTGTGTGTGTGTGTGTCAGTGTGTGTGTGTGAGTGTGTGTGTGTGTGTGTGTGTGTCAGTGTGTGTGTGTGTGTGTGTGTGAGTGTGTGTGTCGGTGTGTGTGTGTGTGTGTGTGTGTCAGTGTGTGTGTGTGAGTGTGTGTGTGTCAGTGTGTGTGTGTGTGTGTGTGTCAGTGTGTGTGTGTGTGTGTGTGTCAGTGTGTGTGTGTGAGTGTGAGTGTGTGTGTGTGTGTCAGTGTGTGTGTGTGTGTGTGTGTGTGAGTGTGTGTGTCAGTGTGTGTGTGTGTGTGTGAGTGTGTGTGTGTGTCAGTGTGTGTGTGTGTGTGTGTCAGTGTGTGTGTGTGAGTGTGTGTGTGTGTGTGTGTGTCAGTGTGTGTGTGTGTGTGTGTGAGTGTGTGTGTCGGTGTGTGTGTGTGTGTGTGTGTGAGTGTGTGTGTGTGTCAGTGTGTGTGTGTGTGTGTGTGTCAGTGTGTGTGTGTGTGTGTCAGTGTGTGTGTGAGTGTGAGTGTGTGTGTGTGTGTCAGTGTGTGTGTGTGTCTGTGTGTGTGTGTGTGTGTGTGTGAGTGTGTGTGTCAGTGTGTGTGTGTCAGTGTGTGTGTGTGTGAGTGTCAGTGCGTGTGTGTGTGTGTCAGTGTGTGTGTGTGTCAGTGTGCGTGTCTGTGTGTGTGTGTGTGTGTGAGTGTGTGTGTGTGTCAGTGTGTGTGTCAGTGTGTGTGTGTGTGTCAGTGTGTGTGTCAGTGTGTGTGTCAGTGTGTGTGTGTGTGTCAGTGTGTGTGTCAGTGTGTGTGTCAGTGTGTGTGTGTGTCAGTCTGTGTGTCAGTGTGTGTGTGTGTCAGTGTGTGTGTGTGTGAGTGTGTGTGTGTCAGTGTGTGTGTGAGTGTGTGTGTCAGTGTGTGTGAGTGTGTGTGTCAGTGTGTGTGTGTGAGTGTGTGTGTCAGTGTGTGTGTGAGTGTGTGTGTCAGTGTGTGTGTGTGAGTGTGTGTGTGTGAGTGTGTGTGTCAGTGTGTGTGTGAGTGTGTGTCAGTGTGTGTGAGTGTGTGTCAGTGTGTGTGTGTGAGTGTGTGTGTCAGTGTGTGTGTGTGAGTGTGTGTGTGTGTGAGTGTGTGTGTCAGTGTGTGTGTGAGTGTGTGTCAGTGTGTGTGAGTGTGTGTGTCAGTGTGTGTGTGTGTGTGTGAGTGTGTGTGTCAGTGTGTGAAGGGGCAATGTAACGGGTCAGAACAACCCAACCCGGTTCTGAGAGGAAGCCGGCCTGATGGGTCCGACAGAAACGCTTCAGTTTCTGTTTCTCTGGAATGAAAATCTGTCGTTTTGTTAAAGTTTGAGTTTCCATTCAGAATCGGACTTTTATCCCTTAAATGTAAAACTTTTGGTTGATCTGGTTCTCCTGCATTTTCCGTTTCTACCCTTTTATGTTTTTTAACATCACAGTATTTGCTGCTGAACTGGTCGTCCACTTAACCAGTTTCACAAATCTGACATTTTTATTTCTCAGTGGTTTTCCAGTCCAAGTTCAAAGATGAAGAAACTTTATAAATCACAATGTTTGGATTTATTTCAGTCTCAGCATCAGAACCTCTTCAGTCCGAGTCAAACTTTATGTTTCTTGGAAATGTCCCAACATCAGAGGGGAAATCCTCTCTGGTCGTTGACCAACAGAGATAGTGAAGCATTGCTGCTGCAGCGGCAACCTCCTCTGCTGCAGCAATACTAACCTCTGCTGCAGCAGAGGTCATCGTTGCAATTCCCCAAGCTGCTAAAATCTCCAAATCAGCATCAAACGTTTCTACACATGAATTTCTGGTTTATTAACTTATTGTTTCTTTATTCTCGTTGCTGAACCAGTTCTGGGTCACCAGAACCATTTCTGGACCGGTTCCGTTCTGCTGTAAGTTTCTATGTTCATTATTAACTCTGATCTCACCTTCCTGGTCGCAGTTTGGACCTCCGTGACCCGGACAGCAGCGCCACACCAAGGTCGTGACCTCTTTCTGTTTCTGGCAGCCGGGCCGCAACCGGTACCTGAACAGAACCCTGACATTAATTCACTGGTTTACTCCCTGTTAGGGGTTAAAGGTTAACTATATTATCAGTTTTGATTTTAGTTAAACTAAAAATTGATCCTCCAACCAGCAGAGTTTTACTGGCTAGCACCGACCCAACAGAACCAGTCAGCAGAGGTTCTGGTCCATATTATCGCTGAACTGTTGTAGGGCTCATGGATCAGAACCTTCAGTCCACCAGAACCACAGTGGTTCTTTTGGACTTTGATCCAGAACCAGATCTGAAAGGTTCTGATCTTCGCGTTAAGGAACCAGGTTATACTGGGACCGGTCCACTGTGGTCAGAACAGAACAGGTTCTGATGGGGTCCAAAGTGAAGATATTTGAAGTAATAAAGTAAAAAAATAAAATAAAAATTTCTCCCCTCAGACGTTCAGACTGAACCTCAAGTGGCCCTTGATTGGCTGATTCTCCATTAGCATTAATAAGGTAGAGGACAGGCGTACCTATTAAATTGGCCGGTGAGTTTATTTTGTTGCATGGTGATCACATACACACATACTGGTAAAGGTGACTCACGTGGCCCTCTGGCAGCCAGGTGACTTGCGGGGACAGGGACTCTGATTCTGGACATGTCTCCGTGTTTTACACTCCTCGGCCACCAGCTGCACACTCTTCCTCACGAAGGCACACCAGTTCCTGAAACATACACACAAACAGTCAGCAAATGTATGGTTTTCTTCAGGATCTCTGGTTCTGATCCACTTCAGATTAAACTCATTAAGTCGTGTTTTTTCGTTTCCAGCCCAGAGTGTTTGTGTTTCTGCTCACTGAATCCAGGTTTTGCTCGAACTCTGTGATGTTTGAGGTTTTCCTCCTCCAGTTTGGCTCAAAGCTTCAAGATCATCCCATCTGAAGCTCTTTAATCAGTAAAACAACCAGGAATGTTTTGTTGGTAACAATGAGAACATTTACTTCTTTATTTAGAAGGAGAGAAACATCCTAAACTTCCTCTTTGGATCTGTTTGATACGCTGCTCTTCATCTGGAGCTCCCGTCATCATCATCTTCATCATGTTTAACAATCTACAGCTGATCTGAGATCAGTGAAGATTTGTGAGATATCTGGTGTCAGACTGAATCAGAGGTGATAAATCTGTTGAGGAACATCTGTAGCTCTGACTGCTGATGTGACCTAGCTGGGAATGATGCCTGCAGCTGATTGGTCGCTGCGTCCGCTCTGTGTTTGGTTTGGATGTTTATCCTGGAGTTTCCTGACGAAACGCGCCTCATGTTTCCCAACCAGTTCAGTGTTTGTGGAAGTTGTCCGGCTCCTTTCTGGCTCCTGGTGAGCTGTTTTTAAATCCTGCAGGAGTTCAGATGTTTGTTAGAATTTATCTGGATCAGAAGCTCCTCAGATCCAGTCTGAAGGGAACAGACGTTCTCCTGGTGAACCAACATGGCCGCCGTGAAGAACAGAACCTGAACAGCAGACTCCAGGTTCCTTCTGATCCGACCTGAGGCCCAGAAAACAGACACATTTCTGTTCCATTGTTCCAACATGTGGACAAATTGCTGAAACTCCTTTAGTCACTTCCTGTTGTGTCATTTCCTAATGAGTCACTTCCTGTGCAGAGCTGTGGGGGTCATGTTTCAACCTCAGAGAATCTGGCACTTCCTGAAAACTTTCCCTCACTTCATCTCTACATTTCCCAGAGTGTTTATGGAGTTTTCCTGCAGCTCAGTGAGGTGTTAGGATTCAGGAACATGGAGCTGAATCAGGAATGAAGCCATCAGTTACAGATGCAGGCCTCGTTGCTGTTCCCAAACTGACAAAAGCCTTGTTGTGGTTCTGGTTCAGTGATGATCAGCCGGCAGGTTGCAGTAAAAACTGAAGCTTGGTTCTGATTGCTGTGTCCATCTGATGACACAACCTTTTAACATCAGATCTTCCCTCTGCTTTAAAGCCAACAGCAGCTCATGATTAGTAAACTGGGACCAATTGATTGTTGAACTGAAACATCTCAAGGTGGCAGTATGTGGAGAAACTGAACCAGGCTGGGAAAAACAAGACCGGTTGGTTCTGTTGGTTCAGAAGTGGAACCAACACGGGCTTTGAGCCCGGTTCTGCTGGGATCAGAGGTGAAACAGCAGGAGGTCTGATCAGATCTGGAGCTGTCGCTCATCATTTGGACCAGTTTTTCCATAAGTTCCCAGCTGATCTCACTGGGAAACGGGGAATGTTTCATCCATGCAAGGCCTCCAAGGTTAAAATCAACAGATTTATGAAAACTTTGGATTGTTTGAGGATGAATATTGTCCTGCGGCTCATTTTTCATGTTGATATTTCAACACAAAAGCCTCCAGAGAGGAAGACCTCAGACTGAGAAGTGGGCTTCCTTTGCCTCTTTGAACCATTTCTCCTCCATGTTTCCTGTCTGTCTCCTCCTAACCCTCGTCTTTCTGACGTAATGGCCGCTGGACGTTTGTTTTGCTGTGGTCTCATCTCTGGTCAGGTCTGGTATAAGTTCCTCCAGAACGTCACGTTTTCTCCACCATAAGAAAATATCAAACGTTTCTGATTCCATTTCATCAGAGTTCAACTACATGGTGACCTTTGACCTCTGAACCACAAAACACCCCCCGAGGAGATCAAACTGAAACTAGAAACACAGAAAACTGCTGAAGCCTGCTTCCCATTTGAGCTCTCCCTGAAGCCATTGTTGTGTGTGTGTGTGTGTGTGTGTGTGTGTGTGTGTGTGTGTGTGTGTGTGTGTGTGTGTGTGTGTTATCAGGACTCTGCAGCAACCTGAAACAATAAGAGTCTCTGACATTAGGTAACGACTCCCTTTATCAGTAGACGGCCAGCTGGTGAAGGTCCCCGGGCTGCCCTCAGTGCCCGTCTGAAATTACCTCACTCTGACCATAATTCCCCCCACTGCCTACTTGCCTCCCAGCAGGATAATAAAAGTTATTAAAACATTTTATTGTTTTCAACAAACAGGGAAGGAAAGACAATCAGACCAGGGAACATGCAACTTTTTGGACTTCATGAGTGGTTCTGATGGGTCCAAAGAAATCATCCCCCACTCCGTGATACCGCCTCTACCAGGCTGAACCGCAGGAAGAATCCCTGAGTCATGATGGTTCTACCAAGTTCTGACCGACTGTCTGAATGGTCGGGTTGATGCTGCAGCAGAACCAACAGAACCGGCAGAGAGGATGAATTTAAAGATGATTGAAGATGCACTAACTGGCTGCTAGAACCAAACAGAACCCAACAAAACCCAACAGAACCAATCAAAACTCTACATGACCCAGTTCTGGAGGTCCAACCAGCAGCACAAAGCCTCTAAATCTGAGGCCGTTCTGGTCAGAAACTCACCGGATCTGACTGGAGAAATCCCAGTTCCTGCTGGCAGGAGGGTCTCTGTCACAAACCCTCTTCTTCCTCCCTCCTCCTCTTCCTCCACCTCAGGATCCCGCGCTCTCACCTCACAGTGGCGCTTACCAGTAAACCCAGAACCAGCACCAGTTTCTCCACTCCCGTCATGTCTACTGGCCGTGTGAAGCCCGGCCAGAACCACAGCTGCTTTTGAAGAGGAAGAAGAGGAGGAGGAGGAAGGGGAGGTACTGCCTCCTCTTTCCTCCCCTGGTGGATTTACTGGTAAATCCCCCAAGTATGAAAAATATGAACCTGAAGCAAATAGTCTTCAAACAGCAGAACTGTAGAATTAATTCTTCCAGGAATCATTAGAAAACATAGAAAACATTCAGCTCCTGATTGGAGTCCATTTTTCTGGCAGTAGGGTTGGAGGTTAGAGGTCAGCGGTTGGGGGTCAGGTGTTGGGGATCAGGGTTTTCCTGGTTTATTTTTTTCTCCTGAACAGCTCTAACGCCCCCAGTGGAGCCCCAGTTAATCTCTGGACCCAGAATCTGAAACGCTTTGATGCCATTTTTATAGATTTTTTTAAAACTGTGACTGAAAACTGAAAACCAAGTAAAATAAGAGAATAAGAAAGTAATGAAGTAAAAATAAGAAAACTCTGCTAAGTAAAAGAAATTGCCATTTTTACTGAACCTCATTCGGATCCAGGTTCAGTCACAGCCATGGCTCCTTTAAGGCTGCAGGCTGATCTGTGATGGGTGATTTAGAGTGACCTCTGACCCCATGAGGCTGAACCAGGTGCAGCAGAGGATCCATAACTTCAGGTGGTTCCTGATTGGTTACCGATGTTGGATCAATAAAGTTAGAATTAAATCTGTGTTTTGTTAAAAGTGTGAGGAAAATGAGTGAAACAGAGAAGAACTAGTTCATAGATGTGGAAGAGTCGTTTTCTGCTCTGCTGAGATAAAAACTGAAGGGCATCAAAATAAAACTTATTATTGTTGCAGTTGAAAACTTTGTGGATCCCAGTTCATTTCAGCAAAAATGAGAAAAACTGTCATTTTTGTAAAAATGCTCAAATTTCACATGATTTGTTTCAGATGAATAGGAATAATTACAATTTTATATTGTTTCCTGAACCTACATTTTCCTTTTTAATATTAAAATGTCAGATATTTTAAACAGTTTAATAGACGCAAACAAAACAACCAAATAAGAGGCTTTGTTACAACATAAACATAATTACGGACCAACGAGGGAAAGTTTGTCTCTGATTTCCTCCAGTTTTATCTTCAACGTTTTATGTTAAACTTGGAAAGTAAATTTGAGTCTTCATCATTTTTATGGCTCTGAACTGAAATGTTATGGGTTCTTGGACAGAATGGATCTGGCTGGTGGTTCTGTTATCTGACCAGCAGGAGGCAGCACCTCCTGCTGCTTAGATTTTATTTCACTTTAAACTGTTGCCTGTTTTTAGTTCCTTGTTCATCTTTAAATATTCAAATAATTGAAGATTAAATGTTTCTCTAAAAGTTATTTATTTAATTGAACATATTTTATCTGCTGAAAATTATTTAACAAGATAAATAATAAAGTTCACGTTCAAGTTCTCCAGGAACCCCCCCTGTCTCTCCAGGACCCTCCACGTCCTTCCAGGACCCTCCATGTCTTTCCAGGACCCTCCATGTCCTTCCAGGACCCTCCAGGACTTTGCTCTCTGTGCTTCACTGTACTTATCGGACCTCAGAGCAGAACAAAGCCTGGTTGTGATTCAGCCTGAAATCCAGATTAATTGTTGATGCAGATTATCAACCCTCCGGCTGAGTTTGTCCTTTGTGGACCAGTTGAAGGTTCTGATGAGTCAGCAGAATTTCTGGATGCCCCCTGACCTTTGACCCCCTCAGAGCCCCATTAGCAGGCAGCAGAGACATTCCTCAGTCAGCTGATCTGAGACATGAGCTGCTTCTCTGGTTTTAATCTCAGATTCTGCAAAACATTTTGTGTTTATTAATGTTTTTATCGTTCAGTTTCTCTCTGGAGTCACAAGAATATAAAAACCAAACAGAATCTAAACATTAAAGATTTAAATGATATTTGGGTTTAAACAGGAACCAGGAACATTTTTCATTCATCGCAGAATCAAAAAACATTTAATAATTCATTATAATGTAACATGGAGGAATAATTGAACTCATTAAGCTTCAGTGAACTATGATCAACTTCATGAATTATTGGTGCCTGCCATGCATTGCATGGCAGGCACCTATTAATCTACACCCAATAGAACGCCTCTTTATAATTCTTTATTTTTTTTCCGTGACCGTTAATGCGGCTCATACCGCTGCGTGCCCACCAACAAATGTGGTATCAAACGTGCGGCTCGATGGCGGCATGTGTGCTATTACTTGTGGTGGGATTCTGAGTTACCATGGCGATGTAAAAAGCCAAAAAAGACCCCCGAAAGCCCCATAGAAATGAATGGAGTGAGGAACCAAAACATCCTAAAATACCCAATTTTTGAGGAATTTCTGTGTTGTCATGGATTCACGTAGAAATGCCATTCAAATTTCAGTTTGTAGATACGCCCGTGATCTTTTCTAAAGTCAAGACAACACGTTGATACGAATTACGGTTTGTCCACAATTTCTCTCTAAGCGCTCCAAAGTTTTAAATTTTTGGAAAAACTAGAGTGTAATCAACGTTTCGTTACAGTGTGGGAAGCAGAGCGATTCTGACCCCAAATAAAATTTGAAATCGCCGTCACGCCCACAAATATCGCCCTATCGGTATCAAACTCGGTCATGACATAGATACGCATACCTGCTCCGGTAAAATGTTTTCAAATTTTTTCTAGGGCTTACGGTTTTCTGTCTAGGGGCTTCAGAGCAAAGTGATGCGACAGGATTTCGACTCGCTCAGCCAGGATCACTTCCATGTATTTCTGAAAAATGTCAGACCTCAGCGCACACCATTTTTATCTCGTCGCTGTTATTGCTGTGAGTGATGTACAGATATGAATCACGGGACTATCGGAGACGAAAGATAGCCCTCTCATACGCTTCAAACGGTTTTCCGATACGTATCACGGTTTCCGAATGGGAAGGAGTTGTTCGGACTGTTTTTTTCAGTTAAACTGATAGAAATCTGTCTCACACACATGACAGTTACCATTACCATAGCAACAAAGCACAGCAGGGCCGAGCAGCTAATTAGAACTACAAAAACGCATCACTGTAGTTTTTACTGTGGCAGAGCTCTGAGGAAGGAGCTGGCCTTTAGAATTATAAATTAGAACTACAAATACGCATCACTGTAGTTTTTACTGTGGCAGAGCTCTGAGGAAGGAGCTGGCCTTTAGAACTACTTGTGTTTTGGGTATTTTATAACTGATTTTAACCAACCATTGTTACACATGGGATTAGTATGTCAATTTTGCATTCAGCTTAATAAAAATTTCAAAATAAAAGCTGAATATTTCTCTCAGGCCTGTCAGAAAAACTAACTACTTCAAGCATTTAGAATTAAGTCTCTCCTTGTGTGTCACACTGACATGAGAGTTGACCTTCTCTTTAGAACTACAATGACTGCAGGTTAGAACTACAACATGGCGCAACACTCAGTGTCTACAGAGGAAGTCTGAGCTGATTGTCAGAACTACAACATGGCGGAACTGTCAGTTACTGCTGAGGAGGAATGAGCTGGGATTGAGAATTACATTGTGTTTGGACTTTTTATCACTGATTTTAAGCAACCATTGTTACACACAGGATTAGTGTGGCAATTTAAATTCAGCTTAATGAAAATTTCAAAATAAAAGCCCTGAGATTCTTTTATATTATGTAATTGTTCTCTTGGGCATTATGTGACTTTTTTAAATAAACCACTGTTAAACTTTGGATTATTTTGGACATTTAAAATGAAAATTTCAAAATAAAAGCCTTAAGGTTCCTTTCTGGCTCATGCCTATTTTAGTCAAAATGGCTGCCACAAACTGAGAGAATTCTGTCTCCCCCTGTCTGACTCACAGCTGGCAGAGGATCCATTACCATAGCAATGGAGCACAGCAGGGCCAGTGGTTTGGACTACAAATACGCATCACTGTAGTTTTTACTGTGGCAGAGCTCTGAGGAAGCAGTTGGCCTTTAGAACTACTTGTGTTTTGGGCATTTTATAACTGATTTTATCCAACCATTAGATTAGAGTGGTAATTTTAAATTAAGTTCAATTAAAATTTCAAAATAAAAGCCCTGACATTCTTTTATATTATGGAATTGCTCTCTTGGGGATTATGTGACTTTTTAACAAAACCACTGTTACACTTTGGATTATTTTGGACAGTTAAAATGAAGCTTACTGAAAATTTCAAAATAAAAGCCTTAAGTTTCCTTTCTGGCTCATGCATATTTTAGTGAAAATGGCTGCCTCAAACTGATAGAATTAAGTCTCCCCCTGTCTGACTCACAGCCTGCAGAGGATCCATTACCATAGCAATGGAACACAGCAGGGCCAGCTGATTAGGACTACAAAAACGCATCACTGTAGTTCTAACTATTGCAGAACTCGGAGGAAAAGGCTGGACTTTAGAACTGCTTGTGTTTTGGGCCTTCTATAACTCTTTTTAACCAACCATTGTTACACATGGAATTAGTGTGGAAATTTTAAATTAAGCTTTAGAAAAAATTCAAAATGAAAGCCTTGACAATTTTTCCATCAATTAAGTGCTCTTTTGACCATTTTATGTCTGATTTTACCAAAAAATCGCTACACATGGGATTAGATTGGCCATTTAAAATGAAGCTCAATGAAAATTTCAAAATAAAAGTCTTAAGATTCGTCTGTGGCTGATGCAGCGCTGCAGACGCTGCAATGATATTAGCTTGCTTTATCTTTTCGTCTCAAGTTACGGCACTGTCTTGCACAGCAAGATAGTGCATTAGCATTAGCACAAACATTAGCATTTCACTGTTCCCACTAGTGCACTGCCATAGGCAGTGCAATAAGATTATCCTGCATGATCTTTTTCTCTGAGGTTAGGGCTCTGCCTTGCACAGCAATGCAGAGCATTAGCATTAGCCTTTTACCTTAAATGAGGTATCTGCTGTTTCCTTTACTTATTACCCATATTCAATAATTCATGCTTGTGACTATCCACGTGCTATTGATGACATTGCAGCTTTCTTTAGCATGGATGCTAATGTTTAGCATCAGAATGCTGGGTCCAAACCGACGGGCACACTTTGGCAGGCCCCGGTTAAATTTCTTCAGGAATTTTCTAGTTATAACTTCTTCATCCGTGACCGTTAATGCGGCTCGTACCGCTGCGAGCCCACCCACAAAAGTGGTATCAAAACGTGCGGCTCGGCGCCGGCATTGGAGCTATTACTTTTGGTGGGATTCAGAGTTACGATGAAAAAGTAAAAAGCGAAAAACCATCAAAAATTTTTCGTCAGTTAGAAACTGCCCAAACTAGAGTGTAATCAACGATTCGTTAGAGTGTGGGAAGCACTGCGATTCTGACCCCAAATAAATTTTGAAATCGCCGTCACGACCACAAATATAGCCCTATCGGTATCAAACTCGGTCATGACATAGATACGCATGCCTGCTCCGGTAAAATGTTTTCAAAATTTTTCTAGGGCTTACGGTTTTCTGTCAAGGTGCTTCAGAGCAAAGTGATGCGACAGGATTTCGACTCGCTCAGCCAGGATCACTTCCATGTATTTCTGAAAAATGTCAGACCTCAGCGCACACCATTTTTATCTCGTCGCTGTTATTACTGTGAATGATGTACAGATATGAATCGCGGGACTATCGGAGACGAAAGATAGCCCTCTCATACGCTTCAAACGGTTTTCCGATACGTATCACGGTTTCCGAACGGGAAGGAGTTGTTTGGACCGCTTTTTTCAGTCAAAACTGACTGGGTGTCTCACAAAGATAGAATTCTTTCTGTCTCACACACATGACAGTTGCAGAGGATTAATTACCATAGCAACGAAGCACAGCAGGGCCGAGCAGCTGATTAGAACTACAAAAACGCATCACTGTAGTTTTTACTGTGGCAGAGCTCTGAGGAAGGAGCTGGCCTTTAGAATTATAAATTAGAACTACAAATACGCATCACTGTAGTTTTTACTGTGGCAGAGCTCTGAGGAAGGAGCTGGAATTTAGAATTATAAATTAGAACTACAAATACGCATCACTGTAGTTTTTACTATGGCAGAGCTCTGAGGAAAGAGCTGGCCTTTAGAATTATAAATTAGAACTACAAATACGCATCACTGTAGTTTTTACTGTGGCAGAGCTCTGAGGAAGGAGCTGGCCTTTAGAATTACTTGTGTTTTGGGCATTTTATAACTGATTTTAACCAACCATTGTTACACATGGGATTAGTGTTAATTAAGTTTAATTAATCTTAATGAAATTAAGTTTAATTAAAATTTCAAAATTAAAGCCTTGACATTTTTTTATATCAATTGACTTTTGGGGCATTTTATAACTTATTTAACACAATCACTGTTACTCATGTGATTAGACTGGACATTTTAAACCAGTCTTACTGAAAATTTCAAAATAAAAGCCTTAAGATGCCTTTTGGGCTCATGCCTATTTTAGTCAAAATGGCTGCCTCAAACCGATAGAATTCTGTCTCCCCCTGTCTGACTCACAGCTGGCAGAGGATCCAGCTGTGAGTTTAGTTAGTGTGGTGTGACTCTGGGCGGGTCGGTCACACGTTCGTGTCTGCAGGGAGTCGCAGCGTCTTCGCGTCTCGTGAAAATGGAGCACAGCAGGGCCAGTGGTTAGGACTACAAAAACGCATCACTGTAGTTTTTATTATGAGGAAGGTGTAGAACTACTTTTGTTTTGGGCATTTTATAACTGATTTTATCCAACCATTGTTACACACAGGGTTAGTGTGGTAATTTTAAATTAAGTTGAATTAAAATTTCAAAATAAAAGCCCTGAAATTCTTTTATATAACATAATTGCTCTCTTGGGGATTATGTTACTTTTTTTTAACAAAAGCACTGTTACACTTTGGATTATTTTGGACAGCTAAAATGAGGCTTACTGAAAATTTCAAAATAAAAGCCTTAAGACTCCTTTCTGGCTCATGCCTATTTTAATGAAAATGGCTGCCTCAAACTGATAGAATTATGTCTCCCCCTGTCTGACTCACAGTTGGCAGAGGATCCATTACCATAGCAACGGAACACAGCAGGGCCAGCTGATTAGGACTACAAAAACGCATCACTGTAGTTCTAACTATGGCAGAACTCAGACAAAAAAGCTGGACTTTAGAACTGCTTGTGTTTTGGGCCTTTTATAACTCTTTTTAACCAACCATTGTTACACATGGAATTAGTGTGGAAATTTTAAATTAAGCTTTTAAAAAATTTCAAAATAAAAGCCTTGACAATTTTTCCATTAATTAAGTGCTCTTTTGACCATTATATGTCTGATTTTACCAAATCACTGTTACACATGGGATTAGATTGGCCATTTAAAATGAAGCTCAATGAAAATTTCAAAATAAAAGTCTTAAGATTCGTCTGTGGCTAATGCTGTGCCGCAGGCGCTGCAATGATATTAACTTGCTTTATCTTTTCGTCTTAAGGTAGGGCATTAGCATTAGCACAAACATTAGCATTTCACTGTTCCCCACTTGTGCACTGGCATAGGCAGTGCAATAAGATTATCCTGCATGATCTTTTTCTCTCAGGTTAGGGGTCTGCCTTGCGCAGAAAGGCAGAGCATTAGCATTAGACTTTTACCTTAAATGAGGTATTAGCTGTTCCCTTTACTTATTACCCATGTTCAGTAATTCATGCATGTGACTATCCACGTGCTATTGATGACTTTGCAGCTTTCGTTAGCATGGATGCTAATGTTTAGCATCAGAACACTGGGTACAAACCGACGGGCACACTTTGGCAGGCCCCGGTTAAATTTCTTCAGGAAGTTTATTTTATTTCTCTTTTAAATTAATCTTAACAACAGAAGAAAACAAAACATTCAATAATAGATAATAAATATGATCAAAATTTTCCTCAGAGCTCAGAAATGATTTAGATTGAAACTATAAAAGTTACAATAAGAAGTTTTATAAAATGATAATGTGGAGCAGAAAAACATTTTCAGTAATATTTGGCTCGATATTTATCTGCCTCGTCACCATGGGAACCGTCAGCATCCCATAATGCTGTCTTCAGTCCATTTGGAAAGGAAGGAAATAAAAGCCTCTAAAAATAATCGACCAATCAGAGCGCAGAGTGTTCTGCTGAGTCACTGAGGGAGTGTGTGTGTGTGTGTGTGTGTGTGTGTGTGTGTGTGTGTGTGTGTGTGTGTGTGTGTGTGTGTGTGTGTGTGTGTGTGTGTGTGTGAGTGTGAACCCACCGGTTCTGGCCCCAGCAGATTTCTGGACCTGCAGCAGCAGAACCTGCTGGTTCTGGTTCTGCTCAGCATCATGTGACCTGATGATGATGATGACTCTGGGCGGGTCGGTCACACGTTCGTGTCTGCAGGGAGTCGCAGCGTCTTCGCGTCTCCTTGTGAAAATCCTAGTGGGTCACAGACTGAACCAGAACCAGAACCTTCCTGAACTGCGGTTCTTCTGTGGCCGTTTGTTTCTGCACAAGCATCAATAAATGTTCATGAAAACGTTTTTCAGTTCAGGACGTTTCTGGAATCTGAATCCTCTTCCTGCTGGAGGCTCCGCCGCGTCGGCTCCTCCCAGCCTGACGCGGCTCCGCCTCCAGCAGGAGGGTGGCAGGCAGACGGAGACGGACGCAGCAGAGGACAGACCGGAGGACAGACCAGAGGACAGACCAGAAGACAGAGGCAGCATCTTCACCTTCATCATCTTCATCATGGATGCTCTGAGGAAGGGATTCTCCGTGGCTAAGGAAGGCGTCGTCGCCGCCACTGAGAAGACCAAAGCCGGCGTGGGCGAGGCCGCGACCAAGACCAAGGACGGAGTCATGTATGTGGGTAAGACCACCGTGACCTTTGACCTCAACAGTGTCACTTCTTGCAGTGAAATCTGGAGAAAAAACCAGCAAAAATGGCATAAAGGATGAAATTATTAAAAGAAAACATTAATAATATTTGTGTTGGGCTGCACAGTGGTGCAGTTGGTAGCACCGTTGCCTTGGAGGAAGAAGGTTCTGGGTTCGATTCCCGGTCCGACGTCTTCCTGCATGTTGTCTCTGTGCATGATGGGTTCGCTCTCTGTCCTGGTTCTGCCCCGGTTCTCCAGGTTCCTCCCACAGGGCAAAACACCGACTGGTCCAAATTCCCGACATGTGTGTGTGTTTAGTTGTGTGTGTGCGAGTGTGTGTGTGTGTGTGTGAGTGTGTGTGTGCGAGTGTGTGTGTTAAGTTGTGTGTGCGAGTGTGTGTGTGTTTGGTTGTGTGAGTGTGTGTGTGTGTGTGTGTGTGGTTGTGTGTGTGGTTGTGTGTGTGTGTGAGTGAGTGTGTGTGTGTGTGTGGTTGTGTCTGTGTGTGTGTGTGGTTGTGTGAGTGTGTGTGTGAGTGAGTGTGTGTGTGTGTGTGTGTGAGTGTGTGTGGTTGTGTCTGTGTGTGTGTGTGTGGTTGTGTGAGTGTGTGTGTGAGTGAGTGTGTGTGTGTGTGTGTGTGTGTGAGTGTGTGTGGTTGTGTCTGTGTGTGTGTGTGTGGTTGTGTGAGTGTGTGTGTGTGTGAGTGTGTGTGGTTGTGTCTGTGTGTGTGTGTGTGGTTGTGTGTGTGTGAGTGAGTGTGTGTGTGGTTGTGTGAGTGTGTGTGTGAGTGTGTGTGGTTGTGTGTGTGTGAGTGTGTGTGTGTGTGTGTGAGTGTGTGTGGTTGTGTCTGTGTGTGGTGTGTGTGTGTGAGTGTGTGTGGTTGTGTCTGTGTGTGAGTGTGTGTGTGTGTGAGTGTGTGTGTGGTTGTGTGTGTGTGAGTGTGTGTGTGTGTGTGTGTGAGTGTGTGTGGTTGTGTCTGTGTGTGTGTGAGTGTGTGTGTGTGTGAGTGTGTGTGTGTGGTTGTGTGTGTGTGAGTGTGTGTGTGTGTGAGTGTGTGTGTGAGTGAGTGTGTGTGTGTGTGTGTGTGTGTGAGTGTGTGTGGTTGTGTCTGTGTGTGTGTGTGGTTGTGTGAGTGTGTGTGTGTGTGTGTGTGGTTGTGTGTGTGTGAGTGAGTGTGTGTGTGGTTGTGTGAGTGTGTGTGTGAGTGTGTGTGGTTGTGTGTGTGTGAGTGTGTGTGTGTGTGTGTGTGAGTGTGTGTGGTTGTGTCTGTGTGTGTGTGTGTGTGTGTGTGAGTGTGTGTGGTTGTGTCTGTGTGTGAGTGTGTGTGTCTGTGTGTGTGTGTGTGGTTGTGTGTGTGTGAGTGTGTGTGTGTGTGAGTGTGTGTGGTTGTGTCTGTGTGTGAGTGTGTGTGTGTGTGAGTGTGTGTGTGTGGTTGTGTGAGTGTGTGGTTGTGTGAGTGTGTGTGTGTGTGTGTGTGTGTTTCCCTGTGACAGACTGGTCACCTGTCCAGGTGACTCCGCCTCTCGCCCAGAGGAACCAGAACCTCCTGACCCAACAGGAACAAGTTGTTAGAAAATGCATTAATAATATTTAACATTAATTTAAAAAAATAAGGAGATAAAAAACTAGAGAAACATTTTAATGAAACTAAGTTTTAAAAGTAATTAAACTTAAAAATCATTTTAAAGAGACTTATAATAAAAACAAAATTAAAGTATTAGAGAAAATATATACTTATAAAACACATAAATATGTATATTTATTTATTTATTTATTTAAAATCTGCTTCATATTCAATATGGAAGGAAAGAACAAAATAAAATAGGAAAATTGTCCAAATAAATATTTAAAACTTCCAGCAAATGAGCTGATTAAATATATTCAGCCGAAAATACATGAAATATAACTTAGATTGAAAACGACGCTGTTAAAATATTAAGATCCATCAGGATGAGAGGAAACGCCGAGTCATCATGGCTGCAGAGGAAAAGATTGATTTATTTTATTAATGAGATCATCCATAAAAAATAGATAAAATCATGTAGAGGAAAAACATGAACTCAAATATTAGATCAAATAAATGTCAATAATTATATTAATACACTGTAAAAACATAAATGTTTCCAGTTTTACTGAATCATTCGTTTCATTTTTTAGTAATAAAATAAGTAAATAATAGATCATCATAATAACAAAATACAGAAGAAAACTAAGTAGGAAATGAAACAAACTTCATCTTGAATCTGGAAAATGGATGGAAATAATAAAACTAATTTAATAGTTCATCTCTAACTGCCTCACATGGAAACATGGCTCTGATCTGACCTTTGACCTGATTCCACTTTGTTTAATGAAAGCAAAACATTAAGTTTTTTCAAATTAAAAGCCCAAAGCAATATCCAGCTTTTAGAGTCATCAAATAATTGCAGCTCATTTATTATTCATTAATCTGCTGCAGAAACATTCAGGCGCTTATTAAATGATCTGAAAAATATGTTTTGCTTTGAGTAACAATCAAACATTTCATCTATTTGGTGTAATTTTACTTTAAAGTTCAGATTTTCACCAAAGATCATTTCAACTCAATGACAATGAATGAAACGAAGCCAGAAAATAATCAGATATTTATCAGAAGCTCATCTTTCAGAACCCGGTCCAACAGAACCTGAACAGAACCCGGTCCAACAGAACCTGAACAGAACCTGAACAGAACCTGGTCCAACAGAACCTGAACAGAACCCAGTCCAACAGAACCTGAACAGAACCTGGTCCAACAGAACCTGAACAGAACCTGGTCCAACAGAACCTGAACAGAACCTGAACAGAACCTGGTCCAACAGAACCTGAACAGAACCCAGTCCAACAGAACCTGAACAGAACCCAGTCCAACAGAACCTGAACAGAACCTGAACAGAACCCAGTCCAACAGAAACTGAACAGAACCTGAACAGAACCTGAACAGAACCCGGTCCAACAGAACCTGAACAGAACCTGAACAGAACCTGAACAGAACCTGGTCCAACAGAACCTGAACAGAACCTGAACATGTCTACAATGATTCTCCAGATTATGATTGAAACTGGTTTAAATTCAGTCTCAGTTTTACAGTGAAATGTTTGGAAATGTTGTTGGTTTTACAGGAAACAAGACGATGAAGGGCGTGGTGACGAGCGTCAATTCAGGTGATCAGAAATTCATGATTATTTTATTATTTCATGTTTTCCTGTGACTGTTTATAAAAACTCCTGACTTTAATCACCATTATTATATTATTTTACCACTCTGGTTAAAACAGTTCAATAAATACAGGTTTAATAAATCCTGTTGTTTATCTTAGAATTAGACCTTAAATAATCAAAAACAATTAATTCAAATAAAATTACATTTTAAATGATAAATCCACAAGAAAACAAATTATCTACACATCTTAAACATACAAATCTCTTCTTTACTCTGTCCTTAAACAACAAATACTTTGTATTTTTAATCAGTTTTAATTATTAACATTCAGATTCTCTAAAAATGCTAAACATATTTTTTTTGCACCTGGCACGTATTTCAGGGCAAAATCTCAAACTTTCTGCTTCCTGCTGAGAAGTAATGGTTAAAATCTGAGGAGAAACTCTGACCTCCATCATCTGGTTGAAGCTCAGGTTCCATTGGTGAAGCACGGAGGAGGCAGCTTCATGCTGAGGGGCTGTTACTGCAGGAGGGACTGGTGCGCTTCATTAGTAAAGAACATTAGGTAGAAATAGTGAAGCAACATCCAGACAAACAGGAAGTTAAAGGTTGGACATTAATGTCCAATATGGAGGACATGATGTCCTCCATGTTGGACATGATGTCCTCCATATTGGACATGATGTCCTCCATGTTGGACATGATGTCCTCCATGTTTGATATGATGTCCTCCATGTTGGACATAATGTCCTCCATATTGGACATGATGTCCTCCATGTTGGACATGATGTCCTCCATGTTTGATATGATGTCCTCCATGTTGGACATGATGTCCTCCATGTTGGACATTATGTCCTTCATATTAGATATGATGTCCTCCATGTTGGACATGATCTCCTCCATGTTGGATATGATCCTCCATGTTGGACATGATGTCCTCCATGTTGGATATGATGTCCTCCATGTTGGACATGATGTCCTCCATGTTGGATATGATGTCCTCCATGTTGGATATGATGTCCTCCATGTTGGATATGATGTCCTTCATATTAGATATGATGTCCTCCATGTTGGACATGATCTCCTCCATGTTGGATATGATGTCCTCCATGTTGGACATGATGTCCTCCATGTTGGACATGATGTCCTCCATGTTGGATATGATGTCCTCCATGTTGGACATGATGTCCTCCATGTTGGATATGATGTCCTCCATGTTTGATATGATGTCCTCCATGTTGGACATGATGTCCTCCATGTTGGACATGATGTCCTCCATGTTGGATATGATGTCCTCCATGTTGGACATGATGTCCTCCATGTTTGATATGATGTCCTCCATGTTGGACATGATGTCCTCCATGTTGGACATGATGTCCTCCATGTTGGATAGGATGTCCTCCATGTTGGACATGATGTCCTCCATATTGGACATAATGTCCTCCATGTTGGACATGATGTCCTCCATGTTGGACATGATGTCCTCCATATTTGACATGATGTCCTTCATATTAGATATGATGTCCTCCATGTTGGACATGATGTCCTCCATGTTGGACATGATGTCCTCCATGTTGGACATGATGTCCTCCATGTTGGACATGATCTCCTCCATGTTGGACATGATGTCCTCCATGTTGGACATGATGTCCTCCATGTTGGACATTATGTCCTCCATGTTTGATATGATGTCCTCCATGTTGGACATGATGTCCTCCATGTTGGACATTATGTCCTTCATATTAGATATGATGTCCTCCATGTTGGATATGATGTCCTCCATGTTGGACATGATGTCCTCCATGTTGGATATGATGTCCTCCATGTTGATATGATGTCCTCCATGTTGGACATGATGTCCTCCATGTTGGACATGATGTCCTCCATGTTGGATATGATGTCCTCCATGTTGGACATGATGTCCTCCATGTTTGATATGATGTCCTCCATGTTGGACATGATGTCCTCCATGTTGGACATGATGTCCTCCATGTTGGATAGGATGTCCTCCATGTTGGACATGATGTCCTCCATATTGGACATAATGTCCTCCATGTTGGACATGATGTCCTCCATGTTGGACATGATGTCCTCCATATTTGACATGATGTCCTTCATATTAGATATGATGTCCTCCATGTTGGACATGATGTCCTCCATGTTGGACATGATGTCCTCCATGTTGGACATGATGTCCTCCATGTTGGACATGATCTCCTCCATGTTGGACATGATGTCCTCCATGTTGGACATGATGTCCTCCATGTTGGACATTATGTCCTCCATGTTTGATATGATGTCCTCCATGTTGGACATGATGTCCTCCATGTTGGACATTATGTCCTTCATATTAGATATGATGTCCTCCATGTTGGACATGATCTCCTCCATGTTGGATATGATGTCCTCCATGTTGGACATGATGTCCTCCATGTTGGATATGATGTCCTCCATGTTGGACATGATGTCCTCCATGTTGGATATGATGTCCTCCATGTTGGATATGATGTCCTCCATGTTGGATATGATGTCCTTCATATTAGATATGATGTCCTCCATGTTGGACATGATCTCCTCCATGTTGGATATGATGTCCTCCATGTTGGACATGATGTCCTCCATGTTGGACATGATGTCCTCCATGTTGGATATGATGTCCTCCATGTTGGACATGATGTCCTCCATGTTGGATATGATGTCCTCCATGTTTGATATGATGTCCTCCATGTTGGACATGATGTCCTCCATGTTGGACATGATGTCCTCCATGTTGGATATGATGTCCTCCATGTTGGACATGATGTCCTCCATGTTTGATATGATGTCCTCCATGTTGGACATGATGTCCTCCATGTTGGACATGATGTCCTCCATGTTGGATAGGATGTCCTCCATGTTGGACATGATGTCCTCCATATTGGACATAATGTCCTCCATGTTGGACATGATGTCCTCCATGTTGGACATAATGTCCTCCATATTTGACATGATGTCCTTCATATTAGATATGATGTCCTCCATGTCGGACATGATGTCCTCCATGTTGGACATGATGTCCTCCATGTTGGACATGATGTCCTCCATGTTGGACATGATCTCCTCCATGTTGGACATGATGTCCTCCATGTTGGACATGATGTCCTCCATGTTGGACATGATGTCCTCCATGTTGGACATGATGTCCTTCATATTAGATATAATGTCCTCCATGTTGGACATGATGTCCTCCATGTTGGACACGATGTCCTCCATATTGGACATGATGTCCTCCATATTGGACATGATGTCCTCCATGTTGGATATGATGTCCTCCATGTTGGACATTATGTCCTTCATATTAGACATGATGTCCTCCATGTTGGATATGATGTCCTCCATGTTGGATATGATGTCCTCCATGTTGGACATGATGTCCTCCATGTTGGACATTATGTCCTTCATATTAGACATGATGTCCTCCATGTTGGATATGATGTCCTCCATGTTGGACATGATGTCCTTCATATTAGATATGATGTCCTCCATGTTGGACATGATGTCCTCCATGTTTGATATGATGTCCTCCATGTTGGACATGATGTCCTCCATGTTGGACATGATGTCCTCCATGTTGGACATGATGTCCTCCATGTTGGACATGATCTCCTCCATGTTGGACATGATCTCCTCCATGTTGGACATGATGTCCTCCATGTTGGACATGATGTCCTCCATGTTGGACATGATCTCCTCCATGTTGGACATGATCTCCTCCATGTTGGACATGATCTCCTCCATGTTGGACATGATGTCCTCCATGTTGGACATGATGTCCTCCATGTTGGACATGATGTCCTCCATGTTGGACATTATGTCCTTCATATTAGATATGATGTCCTCCATGTTGGACATGATCTCCTCCATGTTGGACATGATCTCCTCCATGTTGGACATGATGTCCTCCATGTTGGACATGATGTCCTCCATGTTGGACATAATATCCTCCATGTTGGACATGATGTCCTCCATGTTGGACATGATGTCCTCCATGTTGGACATGATGTCCTCCATGTTGGACATTATGTCCTTCATATTAGATATGATGTCCTCCATGTTGGACATGATCTCCTCCATGTTGGACATGATCTCCTCCATGTTGGACATGATGTCCTCCATGTTGGACATAATATCCTCCATGTTGGACATGATGTCCTCCATGTTGGACATGATCTCCTCCATGTTGGACATGATGTCCTCCATGTTGGACATGATGTCCTCCATGTTGGACATGATGTCCTCCATGTTGGACATGATCTCCTCCATGTTGGACATGATGTCCTCCATGTTGGATATGATGTCCAACATGGAGGACATAATGTCCTCCATGTTGGACATGATGTCCTCCATGTTGGTCACATCATTTCAAGCTGTAAATGTTTCTCAGATGAAAATGTTTCCCGGTTTAATTGCTGCTGGTTTCTGTTGCCCAGTTGCTCAGAAATCCACTGAACAGACCAACGTTGTTGCCGACACCGCGGTTGCCGGGGCCAACGAGGTTGCCCAGGCGACGGTGGAGCGCGTGGAGAACGTGGCGAGCGGATTGGTCAAGACGGTGAGTGACGTCACATCGATGAATAGCAAACATAACACACAAAGTCTTCATCTATTGCATTTAAATTTACATTTCTAAAGTCATTAATTTTATAAATCTATTTTGGGATGATTAATTACTGATACAATTTCTGCCATGTAAAATTTTAAAAATGTTTTCATCTCTGATTGGCTGGATTCAGGAGGAGGCGGGACCAGCAGCAGAGCAGGTGCCTGATTGGTTGGGCTGTTGTGACGCTTTCTGCTCTTAAAACTCATCATTTAACTAACAGGAAACCAAATTATTGGATGGATTTAACTGACAATAATTCATAATTACCAGTTTTAGTCATCTTATTTTCATAAGCTGTAATTAAACTATAGCTTATAAAAAGAAATGATAAAGCAGATTGTAAGAAAACAATATATCTATTCTATGTATATCTTTATAGATATATTGTATATGTATCTATTTTATCTGAAATGTTTTGATGGTTGTTGAGGGAAGTTCAAGTCTGAGATCTGATGAATCTGCTTTACTTTCTGTTCAAATGAAAACTGAATTACAGGGAATAGTTTTAATCTTTCTGCTCAGCAGAAAGATTCAAACGTGTCGACGGTTCCACTGATGAAACTAACAAAGTGACTGGAAACAGGCTGACAGGATGATGATGATGATGATGATGATGATCTGCTCTGTCTCCTGCAGGCTGCAGCAGCAGATCAGCCTGAACCTGCAGCTCAGTAGGTGAGAAACTCCTCAAATAAATGAGTTTAAGAAACAACAGGAGAAAGTTAGTTTGTATCTTCATTTATTGATTCATTCTGATTAGGTGAACTACGATGGGAAAAACAGAATATCAAAGATTTTAAATTTGGTATTATAATCGGGTCCATAAGGTGATAATATCTGACCATCAAGAGTCAGAAAACAAGGTGCTAATTTATTGACAGACATGCTGGACATGATTTGTTCAAACCTGTTGTTATGTTTCTGTTTTATTTTGAAGCTCTGGGTCAGGGGGGCAGGTCCGGTCCCTGTAACCTTTAGATGCAGCCCTGCTCCAGCAGGCGGCTGTCCAGGATGGACTTGGACTTTCCTGCTCTTCAGCAACTCGGCAGTGAAATGAGACGAACCTTCATTTAGATTTGCCTGTGTTTGCATATGAGCCTGTTGCTCGGAAACCTGGCAGTTTTAAACATTGTTTAACGAGCTGCTTATATGTTCACATCTAAAGTCTTTTGAACTCAATCACTCTTTGCTTCTGAGATCCAATTTCATGAAGTTTTGTTCTCATTCTTCTTTTCTTGTCTTGCAGACTCAGAATGTTTCCGTCACAGAGGAGAGAAGAAGAAACTCAACGCTAACCTGCTGCTCTGCTGCTCCTCCTCTGCATTGTTAACCTCATTAACCAATCAGAGCGCCGACTGCCTTGTTGCCATGGTTACATGGTTTCCCTTGGTTATGCTTGGATGATTTAACACTCAGGTCACTGCTTTCAGATGATTGGCTCATTGAAGTGTTCAACTCCTGCTGCTCACCTGTTTACCTGTAAGCCACGCCCCCTGATCCAGCCACGCCCCCTGATCCGGCCACGCCCCCTGATCCAGCCACGCCCCCTGATCCGGCCACGCCCCCTGACCCAGCCACGCCCCCAGATCCGGCCACGCCCCCTGACCCAGCCACGCCCCCTGATCCAGCTCTACTAATGCTTGAAGCTTCACTGAAACAGACGAATGATGGAGTTTACTCTGATTCAGGCTCAGCTGGTTGAATCTTTTATAAGCTGGAAGAAATAAAGAGTTTAAAATGAAGGTTTGGTTTTCTGACCTGAGTCGTCGTCAGTGACAGGAGCTCAGTTCTCCAGAAGGTCCAAAAGAACCGAATGCTGCTGGCCAGGACTCATCTGGCAGACCTGGTCAAATAAAGGTTATTATTACCGTTATCAGGCACACAGACCCTCCAGAATTATTAGAACAGGAGGAACAATTCCTCTGTTGTTATTTTCCACTTTTGGTTTGAGATCAGAGTAACAGAGTAACTGGGAGCTCAGCCTTTATTTCCTGGTTGTTACATGTAGATGTTTAACAACTGTGGACAAAATTCTCTTCATTTGAACAAAACCATTTTTCCAGTCAGCAAACTACTGGACTGTGTGACTGAAGTGTGCCGTGTTTCACGCTGACCGATCAGAGCTGGATGTGACGGGATTCATCTGGCTGCCTGGATCCAAAGCTCATCAGTTCCTCTGTGAAGCCTGGCGGAGCTGATGCTCCTGCAACAGCCTCATTCATTTTAATGATGATGTTTCTGATAATGGCAGCAGAATCAATTCTGAGTTTACTGAAACATTTTTCTGAAATATTTACAGAGAAACTAACCAGGAGGAATTTTATCATGCATCAGGACAATGACCAGAACACACTGCCTTCAAAACAAAGGCTAGGCTTCATCAGCGGAAACAAAGTGGTTTAAGATTAAAGACCAATTAACCCAGCAGAGAATGAACTTCAGCTCCTGCAGAGGAGAACGAAGCCAAACTGAAAGAATCTGCAGTAAAAGCCTGGAACAGCATCACAGTTTGGTGTCGATCCGGGGGTGAAGTCCACCTCAAATCAGACAAAATTTGTGTCAGATGTTTCTTCAGCAAAAAACTTGGTTTGTGCTGCAATCATTTTAAAGATATAAGGAAATGTTTGAGGAGGTCATGAAAGGTCAACCAGCCCCTCCAGACAATCCAGCTCAGACTGACTCCATCGTGTCTGTAAAGAAACTTCTGATAAAACAAGTGTAACCGGATCCGATCTGCATTGTGCTGGTTTTAAATGATTAGGCCGTAGTTCACCTTTAAAAGGGTTTATTCTGACAAGAATAACAGATAGAAAATAACCGTGTTATAGGCTGGCCGCTCCAAGCCCTACATAGACAAAAGTACATAACAGAAATGAACTTAATAAATCTATAAATAAACTGGATGTATTCAGATACAAAATAAATAGTACACACCTCTCCCACAGGACAACATGACAAAAGGGGAGGGTCTAAGGGACGCAAACATTTTAAAGACAATACCACAGAAGAAGAAACAAAAGGGGAGGGGCTTCCGTTCTTAAAGTAACACAGTTAAAACAATAACAGAGATTTGCAGTCAGGTAGGAACCCATACAAATAACCAAAGAAAAACATTTTGAGTAATTATAACAACGGATAAATTCAACCATGTTACACAAGCAAGATTAAAATAACAAAATAACTTTTCTCAGTAAAAAGGGAATGACAAAGTCTTCAAAAGGAAAATGAGTGTTAACCCCTTGAAAACTGACTCTTCCTGCTAATTAGCTGCTCATGTGGCAACTTGAAGACAAGATGCAGCAGCAAACTGGGCAAGAGCGAAAAACATGGAACTACTCAGTTTCTATTTAGTAGCAGGACATTTCAACAAACTTCACAAATTATTTCACCCAAATAACAGAACAATAAAACACATGTAATAACAGCGTAATAACGATGACAGAACTTGGCCTACTGGTCCTGTTCGGTGTTTCGCCTCAACGCCTTTGCTCTCATTTTGTAGACACAAATTGGGTCACAATCAATTTGAGACCACAGTTTTGTCAAAACAATGAAAATGTCACTTCCTTTGATCTTCTCCAATAGAAACTGAATGTGAACTCAAAGCAACATGGCGGCCATGTCTCCCTATTGACCTATTGACCTTAGTCCGATGGGACCACAGGTCAATGGTCCTATAACTTGTGAAATGCACTTTTATCATCTGTACCTGAACACGTCTTCAGTAGCTTAGCTTGAATAAAACTGACTCAGTACTTCAGTGTCTGGTCACATGACACGGTGACTGAAATAAATGTCGGGTCCGGGCCCCCCGGGTCCGGGCCCCCCGGGTCCGGGCCCCCCGGGTCCGGGCCCCCCGGGTCCGGGCCCCCCCCCCCGGCCTTACTGCATCTTTAAGCGAGCTAGCTTTTTAAGCTAGCTTAACTGAAGCAGTTCATTACTGCGACCACCGAACAGAGCCGCCATTTTAACTCCACACTGTGAAGAATCATCGTTACGAGCTGCTAAACTTGTAAATTCATTCTTTAGCCTGATATCCGCTGGACTCTAAGGCCCTTATGATCTCACTGCTGCTGTTTACCACCAAAATATTATCGACATCAACTTACGAGCAAAAGCAGATCAGTAGCAGGAGAGAACTTCTTCGCTTCCACTGCACACAGCGCTGAGCGCCCTCTGCTGGTGGAAGTTATATTACACATTCAGATTGCAAAACAAACATTAATAGAACATTTTTTAAAAATAAAGTGACATTAAGCCTAAAATAAAAAGGGGTCTTCTGTTTTCTTGTTTCATTTTTATCATAGTGTGTTAGGCAGGGTTATTAAGGGTAATTCAGGGTTATTCAGGGTAATTCAGGGTAATTCAGGGTTATTCAGGGTAATTCAGGGTTATTCAGGGTTATTCAGGGTAATTCAGGGTAATTCAGGGTTATTCAGGGTTATTCAGGGTAATTCAGGGTTATTCAGGGTTATTCAGGGTAATTCAGGGTAATTCAGGGTTATTCAGGGTAATTCAGGGTTATTAAGGGTAATTCAGGGTTATTCAGGGTAATTCAGGGTTATTCAGGGTTATTCAGGGTAATTCAGGGTTATTCAGGGTAATTCAGGTTATTCAGGGTTATTCAGGGTAATTCAGGGTTATTCAGGGTAATTCAGGGTAATTCAGGGTAATTCAGGGTAATTCAGGGTTATTCAGGGTAATTCAGGGTTATTCAGGGTAATTCAGGGTTATTCAGGGTAATTCAGGGTTATTCAGGGTAATTCAGGGTAATTCAGGGTTATTCAGGGTAATTCAGGGTTATTCAGGGTTATTCAGGGTAATTCAGGGTTATTCAGGGTAATTCAGGGTTATTCAGGGTTATTCAGGGTAATTCAGAGTTATTCAGGGTAATTCAGGGCAATTCAGGGCAATTCAGGGTGCTGAATTACCCTGGCCAGTTTTAGGGCACCTCTAAAACTGGTCTGGACACGCCCTGGTGGAGTCCATGTGAGAACCAGGACATGAACCAAGAGCAGAGGGAACAAAAGAGCTGAGAGTCAAATTCTGGAGGATTAAGTTTGTTTTATCAAATCACAGTCGATACTCAGTTTATGGAGTTTATGAATCAGTGATTAAATTCAATCATGCAGTCGGTGAATAGCAGAGGATTATCTGTCTCTGATGACGAAGCTTTGACTGTCTGCTGTCTGCATCAACACTGCAAAACCTGTCCAGGAAAACATTTTGTGTTTTCTTTCTTAACTAATTGAAATAAATAAGATTTTAACCAATCATTTCATTTCCCAATTCCTACCTTCAACACTCTATATGAACAGAAAAATAAGAAAAATTGAGGGTTTTTGTTTGTGTGATAAACTTATTAGATCCTTAATAATTAAAGACAAATCGTGTTTGACTGCAAAAATGAATAATCTACATTACTACAGGAACTCCACAAGCTTCAAGAGCAGCAGCTGGTTTATTTTCTGTTGCAGGACTTTTTGGTGATTTTTTTGGTGACCGGTTATGAAGGAGACATTTTGGTTCCTCCATCACTGAACTGAACCCACATCATAGATCTGGGAACTTACATTTTCATTTTTATCTAAAATCAGTTTCTTTGAGCTGTTCATCACGTTAAAATGTTTTTTGCGTTGATTCTTTCATACATGTTTGAGAAGTCCTTTAATCTCCATGGCAACCAGTTAGCTGCTAAATGTCTGAGTGGCCGTAGCCCCGCCTCCGAGGCGCAGCTCCTCCTGCCCTCCACATTGAACGTTTAGCAGGAAGACAGTTTATTCAGTTTTAAAGCAACAAAATGGACACAAAACTAGAAACTCAGACAGCAGAAGGTTAACGAGAATATAGAGTAAAATAGGCCTTTAAAAACAGCCTTTAAAGCCTGCACTGGTCAGTTTGACCTTGCACTGGTCAGTTTGACCTTGCACTGGTCAGTTTGACCTTTGCCCTGCAGTTTGACTTTTGCACTGGTCAGTTTGACCTTTGCACTGGTCAGTTTGACCTTTGCACTGGTCAGTTTGACCTTTGCACTGGTCAGTTTGACCTTTGAAGCATCAGGGAGTCGATCCGTTTGAGTCTCACATCAAACTCATCTTTTCAGATTATTTATGTTTCATCAAGTAGATCACAAACATTTCTTTAAAACTTGACAGATTTAAAATCAGATGTTGGTAAAATCGTGACGAATCGCTGAGCTTTGGTGTGTAGCGGGTCGTTGCCACAGCAACGCCGAGTTCATGCAGGTTTGCTTGTTTGTTTGTTGCAGCAGACGAAACACACCTTTCCCTGCAGCAATACCTGAGCCTCCCAGCCAATCAGAGGGCAGAGCCACCTGACAGGATCATCATCATCATCATCAGGGTGGAGCAGCTGCGCCCTTAGAAATATCAGGTCTGAATTCAATGTTTATTCAATGATTCAATGTTTTTGTTTCGGTTCCGACCCGGTTTGGTTCTGTGCCTCTTGTCATTCCTGACGGCTGACTCAGCGCCTCCCTTCCTCACCTGTCGGTGATTAAACCTCCCGTTCACCTGCAGTCAAACAACAGGAGCAGAAATTTAGCCCAGCCGGTTTCGACGGGTCGGACCGAACCGAACCGCGCCTGATTCCCCGGCGGGGCGTCGCCAGCAGGTATAAGAGGCCGAGCAGAACCAGAGCCAGAGCACATCGATCTCTGATCTCTTCCTGAACCAGAACCAGACGCTGCAGACATGAACTTCCTGAAAAACGCGGTTGGAGGCGATAATTTGGGCAAGTTGCCGGGCAGAAAGCGGGTGAGACTCAATAAGACACTTTATTTTATCCTGGGAATGTTTCTGTTTCTTCATTGGTTTGATGCTCACAGTTGATTTGATCAGGTTCAAAACTGAAGTATTTATATTTATCATCATCCCTCCAAACATCAGGATTCCTGTCAACACAAAACCTCCTGAAGTTGGTATTGAAGCTGCAGTTGAATCACGAATGGAGCCAAATAAAAACTCAACCTTTAATTCTTCAACATGTATTTAGAGGAGCTGCTTTAGGAAACTTTTTTGTTTTAGGTTTTGTTCCAGAACTTTGTGGATTTGAGATCTGAGTTGCTTTGACCTTGAAGCTTCCTGTCAATGACAAACCTCAAACGACAAGGTCAAAGGTCAAAGCTGCAGCTGCATCTGGTCTGAAGGATCTCCTGATATTTACTGTTTGCCGTCTGGTTCTGGCCAAACTGCATTTGTTCCTCAGTGTCTGAGCTAAATGAAAGAGAACACTGACAGAACCGGTCGGTTCGGTTCTGACCGGCTGGAACATCTGAACTTTTAGCCTTTCAGACAAATATGCTTCTTATTTTTTAGTAAAAGAAGTCAATAAAGGTATTAGTCTTTACTGATTGGATGATTAGTGGAAACAATATTTCCAGAAAAGTCAAAAACATTCTGTGATAATTTGCTCTTCATTTCCCAGAAGCCTGAACTAATTATTTAAATTGAACAGATTTGGGTAGGAAGTCAGATGATCCTTTCAGTTTAACCACATTAATAAACATTTATGAAGTGATCTCTGAAAACTGTATCCTCAAAAAAACAAACACAACCAAAGTTTTCTCTTCACGTTATTTATTCATTATATATTTATTAACATGTTTTGGTCTTTAAATTTACTAAATCCTCCATAAAATGATTCAAACTCAACAAGAAAACCAGAATATTCCTCTGAAATCGCTACAGGAAGTTGAATCAGTCATAATGTTCCTCCGAGGAGAAGATGGAGGATGAACTCTGACCTTTCAGTCTGATAGAAACCAGCCCACTGAGTTTCATCCTCACTGCTGCTGACGGTTTAAAACCAGTTCAGGTTCCACTGACTAACCCGAAAAACCGCCTGAATGTTCAGACATTCAGAACATTTTCGCCTCCAGGCGGCGCCACGCCCCTCCGGGCAGAGCACCACCTGGAGGGGGCGGGGCGCCGCCACACCTCAGGTATCTACCTGAGGTGTGGCGCCTTTAATGAACCTGCGATCATATTTACCAGGAGGATCTTTCAGTTTAATCGAGGCAGAACTCGTCTCTTGCTTCGTCTCCAGGTGAGTTTGTGGAGCAAAAGGTGGATGAGTTCATGGGTGGAAAAAAAGGACAAGAGCAGCAGCAGAAGCCGCAGCAGCCGCAGCAGCCGCAGAAGCCGCAGCAGCCGCAGAAGCCGCAGAAGCCGCAGCAGCCGCAGCCGCGCAGCAGCCGCAGAAGCCGCAGCAGCCGCAGCAGCCGCAGAAGCCGCAGCAGCAGGAAGGAGATCAAGGATGCTTCGGTCTGGGAGACGCGCTGTGATTGGTTGGCAACAAAGGGCAGGACGGAGAAAACGCAGGTGAGTCGACATCATTTAACAACAAAGAAGTTTACCTGAAACAGGTGAGGAGCCAGGAGAACGCCGCCCCCTGGTGTCCACAGAGAAAACTGCAGCACCTGGAGGAGGAAAAATACAAAACTTTCCTCCAGTCAGAATAATTGATGATTCATATCCAGATTTTACAGCCTTTGCTGTTTTAATGGTTTAAAGAACTTCCTGATATTTAATCACATTATTATCAAAAAAATTATCTTTGAGTTAAACATTTTCTTTACAAACTAAATGTTTTTTGTCTTTGAATCAGTGCATTTATATTGAGTAATTATTAACAACCAAATTATTGTGATGATAATTTCTGGGACATTTTGTCATCCAGCAAATTTTATTGTAGAGCCAAAACGTCAAGAAGTTAAACAACAAAATTATATTTGATCATCAACAAGCTGCTGAGGACCAAAGATTAAAACCTTCATTAAAGTTTATTTTTCTTAGAATAAACCAGCCGGGTCCAAACAGTGGACCCGGTTCTGTTGCCCGGTTCTGTTGCCCGGTTCTGCCCCGTCTCGTTTCTCTGGACTGGTTTTCAGGTTTGGTTTCTGTTTGTGCTCAGCTGGAGGTCTGCTGGATCTGGCTGGAAATCTATACAACTAGGAGGCTGGAGGACGGAGCTGCACCACCCTGCATCCTGCACCACCTGCACCACCTGCATCACCTGCACCACCTGCACCACCTGCATCACCTGCACCACCTGCATCACCTGCACCACCTGCATCACCTGCACCACCTGCATCCCTCTCTGCCTCAGATGTTTCTGAACTCGGCTCCTCTCGTTTCATCTCTATTTCTGTTTTAAACCCAGTAAGCCTCCCAGCGTCTTACTGGGAACTTTAACTGGTTTAATAAATTCTACATTTGGATATTTACTGGTTTGTTTTCTGGAACCAATAAAGTGGCAAATTAAATATATTAAAACATAAAGCTGATTTCTGATGTTTGGTTATTGCTGTTAATTTTAAGTTTGATAAAAACTAAACTGAATTAATAAAGTTTAGTTTCTCCCTCTTCAGGTTTTTTCTCCAGACATAAAATATTTTTTTCTGGGATTAAATGTGGCTGGAAGGTGAAGGACGAGTTTATTATTCAGCTGAAGTGAAGGAAACAGCAGCACTTTATTTAAACAGCTAAAATATTTACAGATTCGTTCCTCAGAACAAGAGCAGCGATTTACTTTTAGAGTTCCTGTTCAGACAGAAAGTCGTTTCTGGACCGATTCTAAAAGCTTCACCCCAAAACTGTTTAGGATATTTCAACATGAAATTTTGACCTGAACTTTAGATTCTGACTCCAGAAACAGCAGGAGGTCTGCAGAGGACAGGTGATCCACGGGACAGGAAGTCCGTCATTCTGGGAAAGTTTGTTGAACACGACAGGATAAGAACCAGAAACTCAGACGCCTCACGCTCCACCAAACACGGCAGAGGAGAAGTGATGCTGTGGTCACCGTACATTTTGCCCAAAAACAAAATGGCTCCAGGATGAACGCTAAACCTTCTCTTTAGCCTCACAAACTGCCAGATTCTGATCAACTTTATTGGTCGAAATGCATTGATATCAGTTGACTGGAAGTTGAGCTGATTCTGCCTCTTCTGAAGTAAAAACAGAGTAAATGGGTCTCAGCAGTTTGAGCAACAGCAACAATGTGTGAATAAATACATTTAGTTCTTGAACATGTCTCTACATCAGTGCTCCAGTTTGGCCATAAACATAAATAAAATGATATTTTCAGCTCTAACGGCTGGTGTCTCTGACTCCGTCTCTCCAGCTCAGCATTCAGTAACGTATCAAACATGAGGCGTGAAAACACTCAGTTTTTATTCTGCTGTCATTTTCAGCCACAAACATTTAAATACAATTCCTGCAGTGATGTTTGTCTGATGTTCTGCACGACAGCAGAATGTGAACCAACTGAAGATGTTTCATCATACACAACTTTAACAACTGATTTTCAGATTTATACTTTATTATACATCTCAACTCTGTTAACTGCATAACTCGTTTCTTATAGCAAAAGTTTATTTTAAAACCTCTCCTCTTCATGTCTTCTAACATTATTGTTAGGGTTAACACCTGTTAAACATACATTAACAAAGAGAAAAGACAAAAGAGTTAGATTCTTTTTCACTCGCGAGGAGAACGGACAGAGATGTGCTTCAGTTATAATCTCCTACCGCTCTGAAGCACATTCTGTCTGCTCCTCTATTTTATTGTTTCTAGGATCCCTAATCACAAGGACGCTGTAGCTCTAGAGGGAGGGGGAACAACTCATCAAACAGCTACAGCGTCAAATGTTATTCACTAACTAACACACAATCATTCTGCACTAGATAATCTCCTTCAGGCACAAAGATTAATAAAATATGTAGTGATCAATGATGGTTTTATTGGAGGCCAGCAACTCAACCGAAGCAGAGCTCTTCACCAAGAGGTAAACCTGCAGGAAGATTTTGTTTCTGCTCTCTGTCAGTGAGGCCTTCTGAGAAAGGAATCAGAGCAAATCAACAATACAAGAAACATTCTTAATTCTATAATGAGATTAACTTAAAGGAAAGCATAAAATAAATATACATTATAAAGATCAATGAGAATAACAAATAACTGATAAATAAAATCATAATTTCTCCAACAATTATCCATATAAATACTGTAGAAATAATGACAAAAATACTGAAGTTTTAAAAATCAACCTGACATCAGTCCTCTTTGGCCTGATAACCTGCCCCCCGCCCCGCCCGCCCGCCTCGCCCGCCCCTCTGAGTTCATAAATAATGTTATGTCAGCAAATCCAAAAAATGAGCAGGAGAGTCACAGAAACTACGACAACAAAAGCTAAAAAGCACATAAATCCATCCAGAAAAATGTCAAAGTAGCAGATAAGTTTCCACATAACCTTTGACCCCTGGAGCAGATTGAGGAGCAGAGAAGGAGGGAGAATTAGGAGGATGATGAGGGACAGACTGAGGAAGAGTTCAGGTCAGCTGCTGCTGCCTGGTAAAGACATGTTGCCAAGAGGCTAACGCTAAGCTAGCATGCAGCCTGAAAACACTGGAAATCAGGAATAATCACAGCCGTGCCATTAACAGTTAACATGTTCTGAGATGTTGGTAGTAAAAATAAGAATTGTGAATTTCAACAGAAAACATAATGAACATAATAAGTAAGGGAAAACAAATAGAATATTTAAAAAACTGCTATTGAAGCCAACAAAAATGTTAAAAATTCACTAGACACGTCTTGCTTTAATGAAGCCAAAATGTGGAAACAATCAACATAGGAAATGATTTTAGGGACGTGTAGTTAAAGTACTTATTGCTTCACTCCTCTGACCAGGTGTCCATGTTTACCATGTTAAATCAGACTGTGTGGCAAACTTATTGTCAGTAAATCAGTTTTCATACAGTTAAGAATAAATTGGATATTTTCTATAATTTGCTCGTACAGGTGGGGTTTGTGATAAAAAGAAAAATCAGTAGCGGTTCTGGAGTCGGTCCCAGTTTTTAAATGGGCCGGTGGACACACACTCAGACAGACAGACAGGCGGTGTGTGTGTGTGTGTGTGTGTGTGTGTGTCCAGGCTGCTGTGTGTGTGTGTGTGTGTGTGTGTGTGTGTGTGTGTGTGTGTCCAGGCTGCTGTGTGTGTGTGTGTGTGTGTCCAGGCTGCTGTGTGTGTGTGTGTGTGTGTGTGTGTGTGTGTGTGTGTCCAGGCTGCTGTGTGTGTGTGTGTGTGTGTGTGTGTGTGTGTGTGTGTGTCCAGGCTGCTGTGTGTGTGTGTGTGTGTGTGTGTGTGTGTGTGTGCTGCTGTGTGTGTGTGTGTGTGTGTGTGTGTGTGTGTGTGTGTGTCCAGGCTGCTGTGTGTGTGTGTGTGTCCAGGTGCTGTGTGTGTGTGTGTGTGTGTGTGTGTCCAGGCTGCTGTGTGTGTGTGTGTGTGTGTGTGTGTGTGTGTCCAGGCTGTGTGTGTGTGTGTGTGTGTGTGTGTGTGTGTGTGTGTCCAGGCTGCTGTGTGTGTGTGTGTGTGTGGTGTGTGTGTGTGTGCTGCTGTGTGTGTGTGTGTGTGTCCAGGCTGCTGTGTGTGTGTGTGTGTGTGTGTGTGTCCAGGCTGCTGTGTGTGTGTGTGTGTGTGTGTGTGTGTGTCCAGGCTGCTGTGTGTGTGTGTGTGTGTGTGTGTGTGTGTGTGTGTCCAGGCTGCTGTGTGTGTGTGTGTGTGTGTGTGTGTGTGTGTGTGTGTGTGTGTGTGTGTGTGTGTGTGTGTGTCCAGGCTGCTGTGTGTGTGTGTGTGTGTGTGTGTGTGTGTGTGTGTGGTGTGTGTGTGTGTGTGTGTGTGTCCAGGCTGCTGTGTGTGTGTGTGTGTGTGTGTGTGTGTGTGTGTGTGTGTGTGTGTGTGTGTGTGTGTGTCCAGGCTGCTGTTGTCTTCAGGGTTGGAAGTCAGTGGAAAATCCAAACATGAGTTCATGTGTCACAGTTTCACTGGGATTAGATTCTCACAGACTGGGAGGAGCAGGACTCGTCCCCACCTGTCAGCCGTACTGAGCATGCTCAGAAGGAGGCAGCAGGTGGAACAGGTTGGCCGGCCTGCAGACACACCTGTTTCCTCGACTGCCATCCAGAGTCACCTGAGTGGCGTCCTCAGATTTGGACGGCGTTGGACGCGGAGACGCAGTGAAGATGGATAGAATGGCCGGCTTCATCGGGGAGAAAGTGGGTGAGTACCGACCTGGAGGACTCACCTGGGCAGGTGAGCTCTCTGGGCTTCTGGGAGGACCTGAGGCTCCTCAGCTCTCTGGGGCAGAGTTCACACCTGGACCAGGTGGTTCTGGAAGAGATAGAACCCAAACAGAACCAAGGCAGGTCGGGTTCTCCGGTTCTCTGTGAGTCAGTCTGCTTTTTAAAATCTCAGGAACAGAATCGTCCAGGTAGAAGGGGCGGGATCAGACTCAAGTAACCAATCAGAGGTTACAATTTAAACAGACCCCCAAACCTACTCCCCATCACTTCTCCAACATACTAGGGTTTTTCCCTCACATTCTGCACCGCCTCATCCCCCAAGCTAACCTGGCCCTAGGCCAAACTATTGCAACCCAAATCGTTGATCAAACTTGACTAGAAAAATCAGGACCAAAAGCAGCTTTCTCCCTGATTCTTCATCCCGTCACAACTACAAGCAACATTCAACAAGGTACAATCAAAACCTACCTATCCGTGTTTTTCTTTAAAGCTGGTACCAGCAGCTTTAAATCAAACTGTCCCGTCCTCTATCCCGTCTCCTGGACCGTCCCCGGTACCGTCCCGTCCAGCCTCTCCTACAGTACCTGAACTTTGACCTGCTTATAGTTGCCATGGTTACAGATGTTTATCAGTTCCAGGTTCTGGTTCTGGTTCTGGTTCTGGTTCTGGGCTGTTCTGGACCTGAGCTATTGCAGTGTTCTGGTTGATCACTGATCTTTATAAAGTCCAAGCTGCAGACTCTGATGTATTTTGTTGAAATGTGGGGGAGGGAGGGGGGGGTCACTGTTAACCTGCAGACATGAGGGGGGGGGCTAGGCTGGTGGGCGGGGCTAGCAGGTAACCCCTCACTGCACAGCAGAAGAGGACAGCAGTTAGATCGCCCAGCTCCCAGAGGCAAGAGCTGCCAACACCTGAAAGACCAGATGAACTTCTGATGCTGATCTGGACGCCATGTTTCTACGTAGAAACACCTGCTGCTGCTTTCTCAGGTGTTTAAGTTCTAATGAGGAGGAACCAGAAGTGAAGATCTTTAAATGTTCATTTCTTTCTGAAAGGCTGAATCTCCACAGAAACAGATGGAAACAGATTTATTTCATTGAATTGCTGCAGCGACTCCAACATCAAATAACTTAACAACATTAGAAACATTCAGGCAGGTGCTGCTTCTCCTTTCTCAGTCAGCTCTTCACATGTAGATGTTCTGTTCAAAGTCAGAAACACTTTATTGATCCATGTCACTGTTCTGGTGGGGATGGACTCGTCCACGCAGCAGCTCTTACAGTCACTCTCTGGCTGGCACAGAGCGATCCGATCGGTAGCCTCAAAACAGGAAGCACCAAATAAAGTTTGATATTAAACCAGCATCATTGATGCTGCATGGATGAGACCTTCAGGAGAAAAACCTCTGATGGTAAAACTGGATGTTCATGGTTGTGTTGCAGGAGACATAGTGGAGGACGCGGTGAAGGGCGCTCTGGGCATCAAGAACAAAGAGGAGGACAAGAAGAAGGGAGGATTTATGTCCAAATTTACAGGCAACAAAGACAAGAAGGAGGAGAAGAAGAAGGATGAAGATAAAGGATTTTTCTCAAAGACCTTTCACAAAGATGATGAAGACAAGGGGCTGAAGAAGAAGAGCGGGTTCCACGGCCTCTTTGCCGAGGGGCAGCAAGGCGGAGCCATGGGAGGAGGCGGAGCCATGGGAGGAGGCGGAGCCATGGGAGGAGGCGGAGCCATGGGAGGAGGCGGAGCCATGGGAGGAGGCGGAGCCATGGGAGGAGGCGGAGCCATGGGAGGAGGTGGAGAGGCTGGTGGAAACCCAGGCCAGACTGTAGCGGTGTCTGACAGAGGTATGTATGAGGAACAAGGAACTCTGATCCTGTCCCAGTTCGTCTCCCAGCAGTCGGTTCTGGTGTTGAGGATCCAAACCCACACAGACGTCCTGCATGTCTTCAGGTGTCCAACACTCTGAGGTCGTCTCTGTAGGAGACAGACCAGTCCATCAAACTGGAGATCCTCTGAAGGTCTTTGCTTCTCAGAGACAAAATCTGTGATTTTTAACCCTCAGTTTGCTCCAGCAGCCTGAGGTCAAACCCAGGGAACTTTAAACTGTGTTCCCACAGTTCCTCTGGGAACTTAAAACGATTAGCTGACGGTTTTTCTGTCGTCGCTTTAAAGGCGAATCCAGCAGGAAGCTGATGGAGATCAGAGCTGAAGTTTGATTTTAAACCACCAGGTCACCAACCAACCGAACCAGAACCTGGTACCAGCAGAACCAGAACCTGGTACCAACAGAACCAGAACCAACAGAACCAGAACCTGGTACCAACAGAACCAGAACCAACAGAACCAGAACCTGGTACCAACAGAACCAGAACCTGGTACCAACAGAACCAGAACCTGGTACCAGCAGAACCAGAACCTGGTACCAACAGAACCAGAACCAACCGAACCAGAACCTGGTACCAGCAGAACCAGAACCTGGTACCAGCAGAACCAGAACCTGGTACCAACAGAACCAGAACCAACAGAACCAGAACCTGGTACCAGCAGAACCAGAACCTGGTACCAACAGAACCAGAACCTGGTACCAGCAGAACCAGAACCTGGTACCAACAGAACCAGAACCAACAGAACCAGAACCTGGTACCAACAGAACCAGAACCAACAGAACCAGAACCTGGTACCAACAGAACCAGAACCTGGTACCAACAGAACCAGAAACCTGGTACCAGCAGAACCAGAACCTGGTACCAACAGAACCAGAACCAACCGAACCAGAACCTGGTACCAGCAGAACCAGAACCTGGTACCAGCAGAACCAGAACCTGGTACCAACAGAACCAGAACCAACAGAACCAGAACCTGGTACCAGCAGAACCAGAACCTGGTACCAACAGAACCAGAACCTGGTACCAGCAGAACCAGAACCTGGTACCAACAGAACCAGAACCAACAGAACCAGAACCTGGTACCAACAGAACCAGAACCAACAGAACCAGAACCTGGTACCAGCAGAACCAGAACCTGGTACCAACAGAACCAGAACCAACAGAACCAGAACCTGGTACCAACAGAACCAGAACCAACAGAACCAGAACCTGGTACCAACAGAACCAGAACCAACAGAACCAGAACCTGGTACCAGCAGAACCAGAACCTGGTACCAACAGAACCAGAACCAACAGAACCAGAACCTGGTACCAACAGAACCAGAACCAACAGAACCAGAACCTGGTACCAACAGAACCAGAACCAACAGAACCAGAACCTGGTACCAGCAGAACCAGAACCTGGTACCAACAGAACCAGAACCAACAGAACCAGAACCTGGTACCAACAGAACCAGAACCAACAGAACCAGAACCTGGTACCAGCAGAACCAGAACCTGGTACCAGCAGAACCAGAACCTGGTACCAACAGAACCAGAACCTGGTACCAACAGAACCAGATCATTGCACAAAATCTTCACTGTTGCAATAAATAGATTTTAAAGGTGATGAATTAGAGGTGTAGAAAAATCATTAATTGTTGACTTATTTCAAATGAAGGTTTAGATTTTTTTGATTTAGTTTTCCATATGTGTTAATCTGTCACTAATTAGATTACAAACCTCCAGTTTGGCTCATCTGGACAACAGTTTTTTGTGACTCATCTTGTGGGAAACGTCCGTCTGAATGTTGCAGCATCAAATCTAAAGCAGAGCCTCAGGTTGACCAGCAGGGGGCGCCACAGTGGAGCTCATCTCACTGAGCAAACTAAACATATAACATCTAGAATTCACAAATCTACCGACTCTGTTTACCCAAGTTCTACGTCAGCGGTTCTCAACCTGTGGCTCCTGCACCTTCAGAACTTTAACTAAAACCAAATCATTTGTTTTCTGTAGAAACAAACTATAAATTATATATGGAAATTTTGTCTTTTTGGATTTTTCTAAATATCTGACAGAAAACACATTTGATCTGTTTCACATTCTATTGGCTGGTGATCACAAAGCAGCCAATCAGGAGCAGCTTTCATTCTCCTTCACACTGATTGGCTGAAAGCCCCAGAAATAAAATGGAGGTTCTTAAAAAAATAAAACAATTCTTAAGTGGAGATTTATTTTGTTGAATTAGATCCATTTTGTGTCGACAAACTGAAATAACTGATCTATTTTCAGACCTGTTTGATGATCTGCTGGAGGTGGCAGAACAAACCTCTGATAAGTGAACCTTCATCCTGTTGAAACCATCATCATCATCATCATCATCATCATCATCACCATCATTATCATCACCATCATCACCATCACCATCACCATCATTATCATCATCTTTCTGGCTTTCTCCAAATATGGAAATGTGTTGAAGGAATAAAAATGTTTAAATGAAATTTATTCTGATCTTCGTTTCATTTGAGCTTCTTTAACTCAACAAATATGAAATAATCATTTGATCTGAACTCAGGTCAGATCAAATGATTTAATAGTAATAATAATAAAGCTGCTGCTGATGGGTCATGTGACCCGCCGGCAGCAGGCCCGGCCCACACACCTGGAGGAGACTGTAAGCTCCGCCCACCAGGTGGGTTCTTCACCGGGCCGGAACCTGAAGGTCCAGCAGAGTGAAGTCCTGACTGAGGGGAACGCTGTTCTGGTCGCACAGGAAGTGGCTCCGCACCGTGACGACCACCCACTTCCTGGGAAGAGCCAGCAGCGCCTGCAGCTTCTCTGCCGCTACCTGGACGTGTCGCACATGAGAACCTGGAGCTGGAGGAAGAGAAAGAGACGGGTCAGAACCGGGTCAGAACTTCACCTCATACCTGAGCGTCTCACCTGCGTTGCACTGGAGTCGGTCCGGAGGGGCTTGGAGGATTTTCTGCAGAGGAACCGGAGGAACCCGGATCATCAGGTGGGCAGAGCCCCGCCCACTCACTGTCAACACACCTGGCCTGAAACACAGAGGTGATGTCATCAGGTCGGCCATGTTTCTCAGCACTGACATCCCTGAACACGGTGGTTAGCAGAAGCTAATGCTAACGCTAAACTTCATCTCACATGGTAATTAGTGGATGCTAATGCTAATCCTAAAACATTATTTAGTGGCTGTTTGTGGGTGGTGATGTCAGCAGTGATGTCTGTGGTGACATCACTGCTGACATCATGGGCACCTGTAGAAGCGGCGCAGGGCGGTGAGCGGCGGCAGGCGTAGCACGGCGTGTAGATCCCGTTGCGGTCCGTGTCCAGCTCAGCGGCGCAGCGGCCGCAGCCGGTGTAGGTGATGTCACCGCTCAGTGCCGCCAGGAGGCCGGCCCGCGGCGTGGAGCCGTCCAGAACCGGATGGGCCGGATTCTGGGAAAGCGGAGCCTCCTGGAACTGGAAATTGAGCACCTGGACTCTGAGCTCCACCTCACCTGCAGCAGAACGGAAAGGCTTGTATTCAGCCCCTCAGGGATCTGACCCAGTTCTGGGATGGTTCCGGTTCTGACGGGCCGGGCCCGACTCACCGCTGTACTTCTGGGACAACAGCGTGTCCACATCCAGCTCCAGACCCGCGTCGCTCGGGCCTGGATGGCACCACGCCCGCAGGAAGTCCAGCGCCCGGCGGTCTGTCGGGTCCAGAGCCCGGACCGAGCTCCAGGGGGTGGAGTGCAGCTCCGAGAGGTCAGAGGTCAAACCCTCCCTCACCAGGAGCACTCTGAAGTCCCACACAGCATCTGAGGGCAGAAATGAACCGAAGCTCCTGATCCGGCCCAGGGTTCTGACCCAGTCTGGATCAGCCCAGTGCCCGGCTCACCCGATTCCACATACAGCTGTGCTTTATGTCATTCTGTGATCTTTGACCCTTCGTACCTTTGTGTTTGCTGAATAGAGGCAGCCAGCCCTTCGCAGACCCCCACAGCAGCAGCGCCCCCTGCTGGCCGCCCGGCTGCTGCACCATCAGAACCGCCTTCATCTGGACCGCAGAGCGGTTCCGAGACTCGGCTTCGTCTCTCCACTCTGACAGGAACACAAGCTGCCATCATGGATGGTGATAATAACACAATAATAACACGATAATAACATAATAACCTGATGGCACAATAACAAGACGATAAGAGGATAATATTATCCCACGCTATGAACATGACTACATGGAAATGTGGACAGTAATAAATCAGTAATAACATAATGATTTAACATAAAATACTGACAATAACTGAGACTCCAATCAGAAAACATTATTTAAGTTTCCTGGACAAAGTTCCTGAGGTAAAGTTGGCGGCCATGTTGCTTCATGATGTTGATGTTTGTTCAGGAATGAATCCAGCAGCACCGCCGTCATGGCGACCGGCTCGGAGTCAGGAAGTCTCACTAACAGGTTTCACCTGTGAGCCTCACCTGCGTCCCGCTGGCCCCTCCCCCTGCCAGCGTGACAGCCTCACCTGAGCTGATGTGAGCGTGCGCGACGAAGCAGAGCGTGAACCAGCGTGTTGACCCGCAGCGACCTCAGGGTGGCGTAAGGGAGCCGGCTCAGATCCTGCTGGGGCCGGCTGGGGACGGACACCAGCAGGGGGCGCCGCTCTCTGACGAAACCGCACAGAGAGCGGAGAGCGCGGGCGCTAACCTGCTGGCTAACTGGAGAGAGAGAGAGGGAGAGAGAGAGGTAGCTACACCTGGGCAAAGGAGGCTGCTGATTGGCTGCTGCCGTACCTGGCGGTGAGGTGGAGGCGTGTCCCAGGTTCAGCAGTTTGCTGGAGAAGGTGGACTGGAGGACAGTCTCTGCTCTCCACCTGTCCTCTCTCACCTGCAGCCCTACAACACAAACACACCTGGGATCAAACCGACACCAGAACCGGCCTCTCGGGTCTGGTACCAGAGTGTGTGTACCTGTGATGAGCAGAACCTCTCCAGGACTCACGGTCAGAACCCAGAAGGCCGCTCTCCTCCACAGAACCACCTTCATCTCGGCTCCTGATTGGTCCGTCACGACCATGGAGGCAAGAGGAACACGGCTTCCTGCTGACGGACCCGACCGCACCTTCGGCCAGACACGGATCAGAACCGGATCAGAACATGATCAGATCCCGATCAGAACACGATCAGAACCCGAATCAGAACCCGATCAGAACCGGATCAGAACCCGATCAGAACCCGATCAGAACCCGAATCAGAACCCGATCAGAACCCGATCAGAACCCGATCAGAACCCGATCAGAACCGGATCAGTTAATCACGGCTGTTGTTAAATTTTCACCAAAACGGTGATATTGGTCCAAACTCAGAGGAACATTTCTTGTTTCCACTGCTGTTGGACATCTGGACTCACCTGGACCTCCTTCAGGTGGCTTGGGTGGACCACCACCACCAGGACAGAGTACCTGCGTCCCACCTGGGCACACCTGTCCAGACGGGTGGTGGAGGTGGAGCTCTCTGGCGCTGCAGACTCCTCTGAGGGTCGTGGTTTCTTGCTGCAGGGGGGCGAGGCGGGCGACCCCTGGGGGTCGGACTCCTGAGAGCAGAGGACACCGTCTGCGGTGACCTCCATTACGACCCACCTTGCTCTGCCCTGGAGGCCGGACAGGTGTGGCTGAACAGATCCATGGAGCCTCCGGGAGACGAGGCGGCAGGGCTGAACAGCTCCGGGGTGCTGGAGGAGCCGGACGGGGGGTCGGCTGGGGGGTCACGGGGGGCCGGCTGGGGGAATGGGCGGGGCTTCGTCGGAGCTGACTGCTGATTGGACGGCGAGTCTTCCTCTCAGGATCAGGGCCTGGCTGAGACTCCATGTGCTGAGGAACTGGGTCCTGGTGGACGGAGGCTGATGCTCTGGTTCTGGTTCTGGTTGAGCTAGAGGGAAACAGCGGTCCAGATACTCCCGGACCGAAGCAGAACACAGATCCTCCTCAGAACCATCGGAGTCTTCCTCGGTCCTCAGAGCTCCGGCTTCAGACGCCAGTCCTCCATCTCCTCTAGCAGACCCTGTGCCTCGACCCGGTTCCACTTCTGTTGGATTCTCCTTCCTCTGATCGTCATTCCCAGGAACATCTGAAAGGACAGGGTCGTCATTCAGGATCCGTTTGGGTTCGACCCAAAAAACCCGCCGCACTCGGTGGCTGGTTCATTTTGCTCCAGAACAGAACCAGAACTAGTCGGGTCACACAGACAGAACACAGGAAGAACTCCTGAATCCCTGAATGGAAATAAACCCCCCTCACCTGCAGCGGGTCGGAGACGGCCCCGCCTCCAGGTGAGCTCCAGGTGTCTCCATCCTGCAGAATGTTCTTCCTCCTCCTCCTCACCAGGTGAAGGAGGAAGAGGAGGAGGAGCACCGAGGAAGATGTGAATCTTTGGCTGTTGATCCATCATGTCCACTGAGAAGACAAACAGAACCAGAACCATTTAGGTCATTAGATCAAACATGTTGGGCTGGATGCTTTTATTCTGAAGGGACAGTGTTAAGAAAACCAGCAACAGGTTATTTAGTTCTGGTTGGTCAAGAGGTCAAGGTTCATCAGAGGAACATTGAGGTCCAGTTTGTTGAACCGGGACTACTGCAGTTTCCAGTCTGACCAGCAGATGGCAGTGTGAGCTGACCATGCTGCTCTGCTGGCAAAATTAATAAAAAATGAAGCAAAATAATCCATCATGAGGATAAAAATAACTACATTGATTTATTAATCACATAAAATGTTCACCTTAGGAGACTAAAGGTCCAGTCCATACCCAGATATACAGAACATAACAAATCAGGCCAATCATATTCAGCGAATATTGTAAATAATATAGTTTGATCTGAATTATAATAAATAGTCAGATTCAACTGGTCTAATGGATCAGACAGCTTCTATAATCAGAACCAGAACCAAACTGGGTCGTCACCCAGCAGTTTATTTCCTAACCTGGATTTATTTTTAGGTTTAAACTTTTTACTCGGGCTGTTACAGTTTGCTGCTGGACCAATCATTTGTTCTGGTTCCTAAAAGCAGAAAAAGGAGGCCAAGAAGAAGAATCTGCCGTATTCTTCAAGCAGATTAAAGGTTGAATCAGCCTGACTGTCTCATAGTTTGAGCTGGAAAAAATCGGTTTATTTTTTTCTCTGTTCTCTGATCAGCCACATTTCACATAAATAAAGTTAAGCAAATAGTTTGAATGTTTGTCATTTTCTTAAGAGTAAATTCATGGTTGCTGCTTGTTGATACTTTACAGGTTTACTGATCTGTTACAGTCCTGATCAGACAACATATTGGGCATACAGGTGAAGGTTTTAATGCCTGTTTTTACCTGAAGGCCTCCCCAGAGCCTGGCTGCAGGGAAATATTGAGGACATGATGTGACTTCAGTGCAGTGTGTTGTTTTTGGGTTGATCCTGAAGGAGGCCGGGCAATGAGTCATAGACCTGCCAGAAAGACTGTAAACAACATCATTTCAAGACCAAATGTTGAAATTAACAATAGCTTGAAATGTTATACACAGCATCTGGCTTTTATTATTAAATGAACATTGTTTTGAAAGTTTTCCCGGAAGTACGTGTTGTCTAAACGCTTGCTAGTATTAAACTATTTTACGCTGCTAATAAAACCTAATTAAAGGAGTCAAACTTGATTGAAACCTTCATACCAGACTGATATCTGCTCTGTCTGTGCGATTAACTCACTGGTTAAGCCGTAATTATCAGTTTTCTTCTGTGTTTCTGCTGTTTGTGTTGAGCTAAGCTAACGGCTAACCGCAGCAGCTCCCGCCCTGCGCGCCCTTAAATGATCGCGTGCCAGCTTCAGTTTGTTTGGCACGCGCAGGCTGCTGACAGGAAAGGGCGGCGACCTGGAGGAGCCGCCGCGGCCGGGACAGACTCTCCGCTTCGGCGGCTCCATTTCCTGGACCTCCTTCCACCAGCTCACCCGCAAAATGTACCGGAGCCTGGGAGAACTGCTGACCCGGGGAGCGGGTGGTCTCCTGGCCTCCGCCGCCGACTCGGCGCTGCCGGCGTCTGCCTCGCTGCTGCGGCCCCGCGGCTACAGCCAGGCCGCGGAGCGGGGCGACGACCCCAACTTTTTCACCATGGTGGAGGGCTTCTTCGACCGCGGAGCCGCGATCGTGGAGGACAAGCTGGTGGAGGACTTGAGAACCCGGGAGACCCCGGAGCAGAAGCGGAAGAGAGTCAGCGGGATCCTGCGGATCATCAAGCCGTGTAACCACGTCCTGAGCGTCTGCTTCCCGATCCGGAGGGACAGCGGCGAGTGGGAGGTGATCGAGGGCTACCGGGCTCAGCACAGCCAGCACCGGACGCCCTGCAAGGGAGGTGAGAGCCGAACCGAACCGAGTCAGCATGTAGAGCCGAACCGAGTCAGCATGTAGAGCAGACACAGCTGAGGGCAGCCGGTACCTGCTGCAGGAGGAGGAAGACAAATATTAATGTTAATGATGATCGGGGTTCAGGGTTCAGGGTTCGGGGTTCAGGGTTCGGGTTCGATAAACAATCCCTTCTTCTGGTTCAGTCCATCCTGAAACATTTGTTTTAAATATAAACATAATTCTATATGATCGGGTTTATTGTTATTGTTGCATTTCATTGTTTTATGGGTTAGGGTTATTTTTCACCAGTCAAAATGAAAGAATAAATGAACAAACCAGGAAGGACCAGCAGAACCACCCGGTCCGATCCAGTCTGGCCTGGTTCTGGTTCTGAGTCCTGTGTATTAAAACCCAAACAGACCAATCAGAACAAGTACCTGTAGACTGGTACCGTTCAGCCTAAAGGTACCGGGTCAGCCGTGACAGAGTCTGGAACCAGCAGGTCAAAGGTCACACAATCTGCTCTGGTTCCAGTAGAACTCGGTTCTGGTTCTGTTTCAGGGATCCGGTACAGCACCGAGGTGTCGGTGGACGAGGTCAAGGCTCTCGCCTCCCTGATGACCTACAAGTGTGCTATCGTGGGTCGGTACCACACACACACACACACACACACACACACACACACACACACACACACACACACACACACAGACCGGACCTGAACCGGGCCTAACCAGAACCGCCTACTGTTCCAGACGTTCCGTTTGGTGGAGCCAAAGCTGGAGTGAAGATCAACACCAAGAACTACACGGTGAGCGGATCCAAGTGACAGAACCGGGCCGGTACCGTTCACGTTCTGGTGTTTTTCAGTCAAGCAGACGTTACAGACCGGTTCTGAGTTGGTTCTGGACCAGAAAACACCGGGCTTTGATTATTGATTTGTAATCAGGATACATTTTTAGCTGTAATTTTAGTCAACTCTGGTTTTAATAACATGGTTTATCCAGTTTCGGTTTTACTGATCAGAACCAGAACAGAACCGGGTCGCCCTCAAGCAAAACAAAGGCGTGTCTGGATCAGGGCGGGTCAGAACAGCCTGGTTCTGGTCCAGTCCAACCGGTTCCACTGTGGAGACGCTGAACAAACCCACCAGAACGGTCAGTGGAGCAGCAGGGGGCGCTGCAGCAGAGCTGAGTCAGAGATTAAAATCAATCGACCGATTGATCAGTGGTCGATTGGAAATGAACCCAAAACTGAACAACAGACATTTTCGATTTAATTTAAAAACATTTCTAGTTTTATCTTCATATCCGTGGAGCAGATTTTAGAATTTTTCTGCATTTAAGGCTCAAAACATTTTAATTCTTCAAAAAAGGAATTCATTATTTCTCAAATATTAGCGTAATTGATTTAATCGCTACTAAATAAATGAACAGTTATTACAGACTAACAGGATGTCTTAATCAAGGTTCTGGACGGGTTCGTCTGGACCAGAACCATTCAGAACCTTCCTCTGCTCCAATCTCTGATCCAGGACTCTGAGCTGGAGAAAATCACCAGGCGGTTCACCCTCGAGCTCGCCAAGAAGGGATTCATCGGTGAGGAAACTTTGTTCATAAGCCCCGCCCACCTCACAGCCAGGGTCTGTGGTTCTGTTGGACCCGGCTGGTTCGACCCTCAGTGGTTCTACAGGGCCCGGTATCGACGTTCCGGCTCCGGACATGAGCACCGGGGAGCGGGATGTCCTGGATCGCCGACACCTTCGCCACGACCCATGGGACACAACGTGAGTCTGGGGCGGAACCAGAACCACCTGCGCCTGGTTCTGTCCCGTCTCTGGTTCTGACCCGTCTGATCCTTCTCAGGACATCAACGCCCACGCCTGCGTGACGGAAGCCCATCAGCCAGGGTGGGATCCACGGCCGAATCTCTGCGACGGGCCGCGGCGTTTTCCACGGCATCGAGAACTTCATCAACGACGCGTCCTTCATGAACCGGGTCGGGCTGGCGCCGGGCTTCCAGGACAAGACCTTCGTCATCCAGGTACGACGGGCAGCGCCCGGCCCGGCGGGTCCGGCGTGTCCGCTGTGATCCGACCGGCCGCTCGTCCTCTCGCAGGGCTTCGGGAACGTGGGCCTCCACAGCATGCGCTACCTGCACCGCTTCGGCGCCAGGTGTGTGGGCGTGGCCGAGGTGGACGGCAGCATCTGGAACCCGCGGCATCGACCCCAAGCAGCTGGAGGACTACAAGCTGGTGGGTCGGCGCCCCCCGCGGTCCGGTCCCGGTCCAGGGCCGCGGCCCGGTCCGGTCCGGTCCGGTCCAGGGCCGCGGCCCGGTCCGGTCCGGTCCGGTCCATGGCCGCGCCCTAACGCTGCTCCCCGTCTCCAGGCCAACGGAACCATCGTGGGGTTCCCGGACTCCACGCCGTACGAAGGCAGCCTGCTGGAGGCCGACTGCGACATCCTGATCCCCGCCGCCAGCGAGAAGCAGCTGACGCAGCGCAACGCCCACCGCATCAAGGCCAAGGTACCAGCAGAACCGGGCCACATGTCGACCGGGTTCTGGTTCTGACGGGTCTTTGTGGCTTGTGAAGTGAAAATACGGTTTAATCTCCGTATAAACATAATTAAAAACATAAACAGTTTTGTACAGTTACTGTAAAACATGAACAGCAGCATTTGGGTTTATTTAGCAGGAAATGGAGAAAAAGTTGTTCATGTTTTCACAAAGTTATTCACACATTCATAACTAAGATCATAACTAAATATTTAGTTATGCAGCTACATGTTTAGCTTCATAACTAAATAGATTATCTTATCAGTGAATGGTTCTAAAACGACCCGGTTCTGGTTAGTCGGTGGTTCACTGGAGGTTCTGGTGGAGTTCTGATAAACCCATCTGACTCTGGAGGTCCATTTCCCCAAAGCTTGACAAATAGACTGTTTTCTCTGGTTCTGACCCGGTTTCTCTCTGGTTCTGACCCGGTTTCTCTCTGGTTCTGACAGATCATTGCAGAGGGAGCCAACGGGCCGACCACGCCTGAGGCGGACCGGATCTTCCTGGAGAGGAACAGGCTGGTGATCCCGGTCAGTCGAGGCTTCTGGTTCTGGTTCTGGTTCTGTTCTGGTTCTGGTTCTGGTCTGAGCTGCGGTGTCGTACCCAGGACATGTACCTGAATGCGGGGGGCTCACCGTGTCGTACTTTGAGTGGCTGAAGAACCTGAACCATGTGAGCTACGGCCGGCTCACCTTCAAGTACGAGAGGGATTCGAACTACCACCTGCTGAGTCAGCGCCACGCTCTTCATCATCATCATCGTCATGATGGTTCTGGTTCTGACCAACCCGTTTCTCCTCAGTGTCCGTCCAGGAGAGTCTGGAGAGGAAGTTTGGAAAACTGAACGGCTCCATTCCAGTCGTTCCCACGTCAGAGTTCCAGGCGCGGATCGCAGTAAGTATTCACACCCTGGGGTAAAGTATTCACACCCTGGGGTAAAGTATTCACTTCCTGGGGTAAAGTATTCACACCCTGGGGTAAAGTATTCACACCCTGGGGTAAAGTATTCACTTCCTGGGGTAAAGTATTCACACCCTGGGGTAAAGTATTCACACCCTGGGGTAAAGTATTCACTTCCTGGGGTAAAGTATTCACTTCCTGGGGTAAAGTATTCACTTCCTGGGGTAAAGTATTCACTTCCTGGGGTAAAGTATTCACACCCTGGGGTAAAGTATTCACACCCTGGGTAAAGTATTCACTTCCTGGGGTAAAGTATTCACTTCCTGGGGTAAAGTATTCACACCCTGGGGTAAAGTATTCACTTCCTGGGGTAAAGTATTCACTTCCTGGGGTAAAGTATTCACTTCCTGGGGTAAAGTATTCACACCCTGGGGTAAAGTATTCACTTCCTGGGGTAAAGTATTCACTTCCTGGGGTAAAGTATTCACACCCTGGGGTAAAGTATTCACTTCCTGGGGTAAAGTATTCACTTCCTGGGTAAAGTATTCACACCCTGGGTAAAGTATTCACTTCCTGGGGTAAAGTATTCACTTCCTGGGGTAAAGTATTCACACCCTGGGGTAAAGTATTCACTTCCTGGGGTAAAGTATTCACACCCTGGGGTAAAGTATTCACTTCCTGGGGTAAAGTATTCACTTCCTGGAGTAAAGTATTCACACCCTGGGGGTAAAGTATTCACACCCTGGGGTAAAGTATTCACTTCCTGGGGTAAAGTATTCACACCCTGGGGTAAAGTATTCACTTCCTGGGGTAAAGTATTCACTTCCTGGGGTAAAGTATTCACTTCCTGGGTAAAGTATTCACACCCTGGGGTAAAGTATTCACTTCCTGGGTAAAGTATTCACACCCTGGGGTAAAGTATTCACACCCTGGGGTAAAGTATTCACACCCTGGGGTAAAGTATTCACACCCTGGGGTAAAGTATTCACTTCCTGGGGTAAAGTATTCACTTCCTGGGGTAAAGTATTCACTTCCTGGGGTAAAGTATTCACTTCCTGGGGTAAAGTATTCACTTCCTGGGGTAAAGTATTCACACCCTGGGGTAAAGTATTCACACCCTGGGGTAAAGTATTCACACCCTGGGGTAAAGTATTCACTTCCTGGGGTAAAGTATTCACACCCTGGGGTAAAGTATTCACACCCTGGGGTAAAGTATTCACACCCTGGGGTAAAGTATTCACTTCCTGGGGTAAAGTATTCACTTCCTGGGGTAAAGTATTCACACCCTGG